ATTTCACTGCTGTGGACGGTGAGAGTAACATATATAGGTCAAAAAGTTTCGACGATAACGCGTAGAGCACGGTAGCTCAATTGGTTAGAGCACCAGTACGGAAGCTGCAGGTGCCGGTTCTTACCTGTCGGATTTCCTTTATATTAAAAAAATGTTATAAAATAACGCTTACATATTTACGTACTACATTAATAGAATCCTTATTTATTTGATCAATCACTTGATTATTGTACATTTGCTACTTAAGTGTGCGCTATTTTAGTATGAAATTTTTAATCCTAATATTTATTACATAGAATGTGCTCCATGCGCATCGCTAGTGATGTGCTGCGTGTGTTCGGAGCCATACTCGGATGGCGAGCTGATCATACAGTGCGTGCCGTGTGGGCGCTGGCTTCATGCTTCCTGTGACAATATTCGCTCAGAGGCCGACGCTGACATCTGCTGTCGGGCTGGGTATGTTCAAATAGTGAAAAAACTATTACAAAGTAACAATTGACGAAAGAAAGAATGTATGAAGCAAACAATCTAGTTCATATTACTCTAGGTCTAGTTTATCCCTTCTAAAATAAACTTACCAATTATCGGAGACGGAATGTTCTAATGTACAAAGAACTGAATCCTCTTCAAATCTAACAATTTCTGTATTTTTCTTGTTCAAATTATCAGTTGTAGGCATATGTTTCTTTAGGTATACATTGGCTTGTATGGATTCTTTCCACTTCGCGACTAATATATAATATAATAATATATGTAATATTCAATTTGTCCACAATTCTGATATAAATTCAATGAAAACCCGAGAACCCTAAGCATGTATGTTTCAACTTAACTATTTAAAATAAGCAAGGTAAATAACAAAATTTACTTTAGGTATAAGTGCTGTCTATGCCGCGGACGAGAAATCCCGCCACCGCATTTAGCGCGGGCTATAGAGCCGGCTAGCGCATCTACCAGTAAGCCAGCCGGCCGCCTAACTGCTCTGGCACTGGGTCTAGCCGGAGAATACTATGTCGATGATGTGTGTCTGTCCCAACGTGGCGCTCATCACATGAAACAACTAGAAGCGGAAATGGGAATCACACACACGAGACGCAAACGCCGATTCAAGCATGAGAATCCCGAGAAAGATGCCGGTAGGTTTTATTTAATTACAATATTCTTTCATTTTTAAATAGTTATTTACTTAACTAACACAATTGGGTACTTTTTATGATCTGTCGAAATAACTTATCTTCATACATTCTGTATGGAATTTTAAAATATGGCTTGATATTTTACAGTTAAAGACCGACGCACTTTTAAATTTAATTTTAATAATATATTTATGTATACTTCATTCACATACAATTGATAAAATAGTATTTTTTTAAGGTTAAAAGCAGTCACATATATCTGAGTTTAGTAGTACTTCTAATTTAATCCAAAGAAGTACCCATTTGCGAAATTATTATGGACTGTAGAAAATATATTAGAATTATGTGAAAAGGATAGCTAAACCACTGAAGTATTAAACAGTCAAGAAAAAAAAATAGAATTTGCTACTGTAGTTTGCAATTTCTTAGTTTAGATAAGATATAATGGTGGTTTTTGTGTGCAAAACACTCGAATAGCCAACGGCTGAATCCAATGTAAGAAGTTTTGCTGGTTAGACACCATTTACTGATTTCATAAACACAGAACCACCACTATATTGTATAGTATAATACATAATATAAATAAGTTATGTATCATATTATAATTTGTCTAACATGGGTGTTTTTGTGTTGGACGCTGGCTATTGGATTAGAAATAATGGCATCTATTGAAACAGTGGTTCAGAACGCAGAAGGTGACGTCGCGGATGACAGCAAGCCGGACACCACCGCTGAAGTTAAAGAGGAACCAGGTATTGCCATAGTCCAGTTAATACTATATATATATATATACAGTTAATACTATATATATATATATAATGATAAATCAAAATGACTGAGTCATTCCATACATCCTTCTGGGTGAAAAGTTCTCGACTAAAGTAATGCAACAAATTATATCTTAAAAAATCCTTATATCCAACTTTAAACATCTAATTATTTTTAAATTTATTATTTGATTAATTTTACATTAGAAAACCATCCCATGTTTGCTTGTATAGATTAGTTGATACGTAGTTTTATTTATTTTAGTAGCTCTAGAAAAATGATTTTTCTTAGGCTTAGCAGCGAATGCCAACCTCAAAGAGGGTATACTATGGAACGTAGCCAATGATGGGCCGGTCCCTGAAGGTTTCACGATTTACACTACGGATTCCGGCCTCACGGTTTTACGGAGGAAGAGACAGCGGAATCTTAATAAACTTGGCATTGGTGGTTTCGTCGTACGACAGAGACAAGCGACTATTAAAGCGCAAGCTGATGAAGATAACGGGGATGGGACACAGAATTCTGGAGGTAAATATATATTATCCTACAGTAAATAAAGCAACTATAAATTTAGTATTTCTCTATATCTGGTCTAACGAGAAATAATGAAACGGAATTAATAAATGTATACACTAAGTACTTTTTAATAATATTGTGTAGTTCTAAAGTTGTATTTTTTCTGTTTAGAATCCCCGAGTAATAAGAGAAAACCACGCCGCAAGCCCCGCTCCAAATTGATGGAACAATTTCCTTCATATATGCAGGAAGCCTTCTTTGGCAAGGACCTGTTGGAACCAAAACCTGCAGGTAATCGATTGCATAGAAATGATAGTATGTTATCTGGCAAATATTTGCATGCACAGCTGAAACAATTGGAACAACTTAACTAACAATATTGAAAGTGAATAACGTTTGGTGTTGAAAATCTAGGTTTAATATTTTTTTAATTAAAGCAGGCCTTGATCCATCTTCAATCTTTTGATTTAACATAATAAAATATATAGTGTGGCCTATGCAATGTTGTCCACATACACCTAATCATAATATTATGTTATCCTTCACAAATCTCATTCAGAGTTCTCATTAAAGAAATACGTCTGAGATAGCTTAAGTTGCGGTGAACCATATGTTTATTTCCATTATTTACACAAATCGTATAAATCTTCTTCATCTTTAGATGGTGACAGCGGTGCACGTTCACCAGATCTTGGCGCGTTTGATAACTCCGATTCTGACGGCGAGGATGTGCTAACAGCCCTTTGCACATATACAGAACGACACACAACATCCTTTATCATGTTGAATGAGGTATGGCATGTTCCTTTACGTTTTTTTTTTAATTTCAATACTATAGATATTTGGTTTTATATATACGGTAATTTATTCTAGGACGAGAAAGGGGTTCTTTGTTCACTAAAACCCAAAGAAGAAAAAGAAGACTCAATGAATTTGATAGATATGGACGTTAAAATAAAGACAGAAGGAACTGATGATGAGCAATTGAAGCACACTGAAGATTCTACTGCGCTTAAAAACGCTATTCTAGGCCCACACCATAGTGATTTGGAACAGGGAGTGACAACAACAGATGGTGTCGCGCCAATTCCTCCTAAGACTGAACCAAATACTGGTAGGAGTTAATTTACTACATCTCTTAATAAATCAATTATCAATTTACGTAAAGGTATACAAACAGACCAAGTCGGACTCATGCCCTTGCAATAATTGTTATATATAATACATATTTAATTTAAGGTATCTTTTGCTATGGTAGCCATAAAAAATGTATTTAATAATAATTTTAATATAAGACAAGCAGACAGATGAGTTCGGAGACAGAGGAGGAAGGAATTTTAAAAATTTATTTTTTTACAGAATCTGGAGTGACGTCACAGCCAGCGATATCACCAAAAGACGAGTTATCCCTTCTTGGTGTAAATTTAGACGCTATGGTGCGTGATACTCTACCCGACATGGATAGCAACGATGTGGACGAAATCTTCAAAGGGGTACTAACTGATGACTCGCAGGTGAGTCTCTCTCAGTACTACAAAGTTTAATAATAGTTTTTACTTTCCTGTAACAAAACTAAATGTATTGTGATGAAGAAGCGCGCTTGCTACTCGCATCTCGTTTAGATGTAAACTCCATGTTTACCTGTCCTATATCATTAAAAATTTAAATTTGATTAAGAAATACTTAATTAAATATTTTCTATATCCATTCAATAGATACAATATATCAGACACATTATTTTTTAGGAATCTCAAGAATCGTCTGTGTCTTACGTCAACTCAATGGCGGGTACACCATATTCCCAACAAAGGCAACAGCTACAGAGTCCTATGGAGTACGCTTCGCCTTATCACCATACTGACTTTGGCAGCAGGTGACTAAAATATTTAAGAAAACCGCGCATGACGCCATGCATAAAATTAAATCTTTATTCTGTTTATTCTATTCTATTATAACAGTGAAATATTGGAAGTTTTTCATTAGTATTTTATTTTAACTCTTTATTGCAACACACACAAAGTATATGCAAATGTTATCTTAAAAATAGGACTAAAATACTACTGTTAGAGAAATAAATATTATAGTTATGGAGTGCAATGGATGTCCTTATCATTTACCTTTCTACTATTATTATTTACTTTTTGGTAACGGGCAGTATAATAACAAAAACATTCGGAAATAAAATAAAGACATTCTATTAAAAAGTATTATTTTTTGACCAACTTTGTTATTTGCAGTGGCAGCAGTGCGCTCAGTCCGTTATACTCTGAGAGCGGGTCAGGCGGAGCCAGCGGTAGCGTTAGCGGAACGAGCGGTGCGTGGGGAGAATCTTCAAACGCTCCACCACCTTCGTACAACCAACGTAGCGCTGATAAAATGCGAGCTGACGAGAGTTAGTATAGATATTTTTTTATTAAAAGTTTCGCATTGAACATAACCAGTTAATGACGTTATTTCTTTGTGTTGGTATTAAATACGTGCATGTTAATATGTCTGTATCTTTTATGAGACGTTCAAATGTTAGAAAGAACTTATATCTCTTTATTTAACTACCATAATAAACTAATAAACATATGCAAATTTAGGTCTAGGTTCCGCGGCTACAATATCAGCCGTTTTATACGCTAATACGAATCACCCCGAATGGAAGAATGAGTTTCCGAACTGGGTGGACCGATGCAAACAGATTCTGAAGAAATGGCGCGCTCTGCCCGCAGAACAAAAAGCGCCGTACTTACAACGCGCGAGGGACAACCGAAGCGCCATTCGAATGAAGAAAGCCCAACAGGTGCGTGCTTTGCGTGTGTTCATCGCAATTTGTGCTAACACTCACTTACACTTGTGTGTTCGTGTGCCTTTAATTAACCTTGATACATTTGTATAATAATGCACGGGCTTCTAGTAAGCCGAGTTAATAATTATTAAAATTTGGTTTCTGCTCCAGTTATAATAGTAATTAAAATAATATTTTAAATGTTACTATAGCAGCAATTGACTATCGATTATATACGACTGTATCAAGTTAGCCAGGGTGCGGTCACCTGTTCAGATTAATACAATGGGTTCGTGTGACCAATCCATGGCTATATTTCACAAATATAATATAAAGTTGCTCGATTCAATCGCTATTTGTTGGAGCTATGGAATCAAGGTAAAATAGGCAAGAACTTCATTTTCTCAAACTTTAAACGGAACATGGCATACATCTTCATGTTGTTCTTTTGTAGTTCTGGAAATCATTTGAAACGACGACTGGTTTTTTATCAAATTAATATAACTATAATGTTGTCCTTACAAAACTATTGGTAGTGCAAACTGATGGCTAGGCTAGATTTAAGTATTGCGCGTAAGATCAGCAACGGAGCCCGTAATGAGCGATTCGTGGACAGAGCACGAGCAGTCCGAACGAGGAACCTGCGGCAAATACGTCACCCGCGCCGCCCAACGTGACAAGCGTGACGAACGTGAGTGGCGTGACCGGAGTGACTGGCGTCACGGGCGTGACTGGCGCGACAGGCGTAACGGGCGTTACGGGTGTGGCCGGTTTGAGCTGCGTGACCAGCGTAACGAACACGGTGCGAGCGCCCAACGTGACAGTGACGGCGGGCGGACTCCTGGAGGCGGATTCACATATCCGCGTGCTGACTCCTTCGGAGATTATGCGCACTCTGCCGCGGCTAGCTAACGCACCTACCGCACCGACACGCAACACGGTACCCTCGCGATACACAACCTTCCTCCGTCCGTACACATCCCGCTGCGTACCCGTGTTCTGAAGTTTAAATCACCTGTACATTTTTGCTACTTGGCAATCTTATTCAAAGTACTATTATATTTATCGAGTATAATAGTAACTAAAGATGTATAACTATGTCCTGTTGCTGCATGTGTTTAATTAGCATTGGTCCATTTATATTTCAGAACACTTCCTTGCTAATCCTACACGTCGACTCACGAATTTATTTCGCTTTGAAAAGTATTGAGTTATAACTTTATTTTAGTCATTAATACGATTCGATTGTAGATTAAAGATTTTTTCACAAAATAATGGATTTAAAAAATACAATTTTATTTTTTATTTTATTGTTATATTTATAATGATGATAAGTACTTATTAAAATTGTTTGTTTACATGCTATTAATAGTATTTTACATTTTCTTTTGCTTTCGTGAGTTTCCCTTGAGTTTTCTGAACCACTCCTTTGCACTTACCCAACTACACCCAGAATATTCGTAATTAAATGGCGTCGTAAGCTGTGTGATTACTTTTATTTTAGCTTATTATCAATTTAAGGACATCCGACACTCGATGCGCCTCCCGGACTCTCGTCCACTGTATACGTAACGTTGTTTTATTTTATTTTCGCTTTGCCTTGGTAGTTTTGGCTTTAGTATTGGACACGGCTACAGGTTACCAGACCTCACGATTCCTCTTGACTTGAATTTGCCGATTATTTCAAATTCATCTCGGTTAAGATGTTTCAATACATATTCTGGTAACAGTAGACTCGGCTGGTTGTGGTGTGCTAACAATTCTAACATTATAAGTAATCGTTTGTTAAATTCCGTTGCAATGTTTCGCTATTTACAAGCCATATGGACTGTAAGCTTGGTTGTAGTGTAATATAGTTTAAGTCGACTACTAATTAGTATATGGACGGCGTGTGTATCTGTACGTGTTTTTATATACATTTGTTTTTTCGAATTAATTTTTATTTTTATGAATTAAATAGAAATACTATTAAATTAAGAAGAACGAACTAAATGCATGAGAATTATTATAACTATAAATCACTAAAAACCGAATTACTGTAACAAAAATTGAAATTGTATACAAGTAACAAACTGTATTTATATTTATTAGTATTGGTGTCTAATTAAGCATGTTTCAAATTTATCACAACTTTTGTATAATACAAATTCGTATTAGTTTCTAAAACAATTATGTGAACTATGAAACAGCATGCAATTAATTATTTAACGAATAGATCTGATAGAGTTTTTTAAAATGTACAATAATTTAGTATTACAAAGAATACTTTCGGTAGGACTAAAGAAATGTTTCAATGATATAGGACCAAGAGCGCGCTTGCAACCAGCAGCGAAGTGCCCGTGAAGCGGAACAAGAGCGGCAATGGAAGCAACTTCAGCAAATGCGCCAACAACAGACACAACAACAGCAACAAATCATACACGACCAAAGAATACAAGGTATCTTAGGATAATCTTAACATCTGGGACAACGTTAAAAATAAATCAACCTATCATAATAGTGCTGCGGAACTAAAAAAATAAGTACCGATTGTACTGGAGCGGAAAGACGATGCCACAGTACATGCCGCGATGCGTTCCCTATTTTGTCTATATGTATTTCAAATGTTCAAAACATTGGGAATAAACTATATTGCATTAATTAAGTGTACAAGAAAAAATGATTAATCTTATCTTGTCACATGTTGCAAATTAGAAATTCTAATTCGGACAGGAATAGACGTAGGTACTTTAATCCCCGAATCAAGAAAAATAAATTCTTTCATATTAGCCGGCTTAGACTATAGAATTTTCATATGAAAGCGAAACTAAAGTAAAGCATATTAGACATGCATTTACCAAGTTATCGCTTTACCGAAGTCTGACAGCAAGTGGTGACATTGTGTTGTTGATTTTCAAGCAGCAATGCAGCGCTTGCGTACAGACGGAAGTCCTCCCTCAGGCGCAGTGGGACCGCTTCCTACAACCGTGTTGCAAGCGTCGGGGCCAGCCAACGTCAACGCTGAGGCGCCGAGGAGCGCTTTCCCCGCTCAACGCTTCCCCCTGCACTACGCGAACAGTGATGACAACATCAACAGACAACTGCGGGATCTTCTACAACGACACCCGGAGAAAATGTGGCCTCCACGTAAGCGTTTTTAGAAATTCATGAAACTATAGGCGCTGAAACGATTGTCAGGACTCGCACTCTACAATTACATAAAGATAACGCAGTTTAAAAAATGTTTGGGACAGCCCTACGCCGAGATACACATCAATCCCATATTGTTTCTCTTCGAAGTTTGTTGAAGATCTATAACGCTAAGCTCTTTCTCATAGAACAACGTTTCTAAGAAACGTTTAAAGAGTAAATTTAAGAAATTGTATTTTTAAAATATTCTGCTATGACGAAACATTTAAATAAAACACTTAAAGCTTAAAAACGCAATATACATAAATGCCCCTGTGACTACGGGTACTGCAATGCACGTCGAAACGTCGGACAGTAGTTAAAATAAAGTTAACTAATTTAGTTCTCGTTTTTAAATTGTTAAGAGTATATTGTAGTATTTTGTATTATTTAAATGTGTACACACACATAAACAACAGACAAATTATATTTTTATTGCCTAGTCATCTTTCTAATACCACATGTATAAAATATCTATTGTTTATATAACTCAGAAGCCGCTAACGAAGAGAGTGGCAGTAGCAACTTAAATGCCGAAGGACAAGCATTCAGGTTACCGTTGCCAGTTGGAGTGCGACCGCGGACTCCGCTACAATCCATGCACAGACCAGATCACCATTGTAATTATAGTTATTCTATATATGTATTTTAGCATAGTTCATAGTTCTATCAAGGAATAAATAATTATATACAAACATACATACGATTCTATTCCTAAAGTACATTGCAAAACGTTCAGCTATATTAAATCAAGTACTCCTTTTTATAACTACAAAAAATACGTACGTTTTTTTAAATATAAATTCAATTAATACTTTCAGTGATAATGCAGCAGCGCCACATGGCGGCAGATGGTAATCAGCAACAACAAAATATGCAAAACGTAAACACGCAACAGAATATGGAACAGAAACAAAACACTCAGCCTCAATCAAGTAGTAAGTGTACGATAGTTGAACGTCGATTAAATTCAGATCTCTTAGAAAAATCTCCATTTCGTTCTACAAGTTGGCTTAAGTTATACTCAACTTGTTTTTATAATGGAGTATATAAAGGGGCAAATATTTTAATTTTTGTAACGTTAACATTATATTGTGTTATTGGTAAATATTGCCGACAAATATATACAATATATTATATTGTTACATCATAAATGTGTAAATAAATATAATATATTATATTGTATTATTCGGTATTTCAATAGCAGTCAAACGTTGACGATAATTCGTCTTCCAGGTGATAGCAAACACGACGGGACAGATCATGGAAATGATGAAATGGATATTGGAGACATGGATAAACTCGAACAAGATCCAGGGAATATTGGAGAGGTACGGTTTTGTTTTCTACATTTTGTAATCTTTAATATTAGGATTAGATTATTATAAGTGAAATTTCCTTCTCAGGTTGATATTTTGACTGGTCTTGGCGCGGAAGATGATGAACAATTATTGGAATCGTTGACTGCTGAAATTGGTGAACAATTCAATATACTAGAGTACGCAGATCCTGAACTGGCAACTCTTCATGCGGCTGATCACTTATTGGACTCCCTGGACTTACCTGATGATGGTCATCATACCTCCAATGCTAATGCAGGACGAAGGTTCTTAACAATTTTAGTACTTAGCTCTTTTAATCTTGAATTTTTACGAATGAGTGACTTGAGTTAAATTAGACGAAAACGTAAGGCTTAAGAAGAGTTTCATAATACGTTATACTATGTTATATTTATAATAATACAATATATTTTTAATATATAATATATTTTTTGCACAAATAGGAACGAAGCTGATCAAAAATCTGACGTCAAAATGAGCAGCGACCTGCAATCAGCTGTTAAGACAATTGGAACTAAATCGGAAATTAAGTCGGAGGTTGTAGAAATAAAATCAGAGGTGCTTGAAATGAAATCTGAAGTGACCGTACAGGGAACAGGCCAAGTGTTCCAAGATGGTGGATCGAGAGTTATAACTCAAAACCAACAAATTGCTTTGCAGGTAATATTATTACTAAACTCCAAAGAATCATTTATTATCTGCATGAATAAATGATGCTTTGGAATCTGATTAATGCCTGTGCTAATGAGGACCAAAACATATTTGTATTTTGAACCGACCATTGAAAACTTTCCCAAATCTGTTTGTAACATAATGTCTTGTTTATTTATAGTCGGCAATGCAAGCGATTAAAGCTGAATTGAAGCCCGAACCTGAAGATAACAAAACAGAAGCTGAATGGCAGCGACCTGTATTCTCACAAAATATATTTGGTGTTCAGGTAAATTTTTGGAGCTAATGTTTTTATCATTTAATAATTTTATAAAACAGAACTGAAACATATTTGGATTAATTCTAATGTGCCGGAAATCCAATAGCAGCAACAACAGCAACATCAGCAACAACAACAGCGACAACAAATCCAGGGTGCAAGGCCAGTCCTAGCAGAAGGTGCGAGGCCACCCTTGCAGTTCTCTTCACACCATATGCATTTTGCTCAGGTATCTTTTTTTAATTCTTAATATGTATTTCTTATTTGGAAGTTGATATAAATATGTAACTCAATTAACTTATATATAATAATGGTAATGGTAATTAGGTATAATTTCGCATATTTACAATAAATTCAACTACAAAAAATAATAAAATAGTGAATTTGTACGAAATAAACAAAATAATTATTTCAGGGTAACTCTGGAGTGACTAGCGCAAGCGCAGCCAGTATCGTTAGTGCAATGACAGCCCAGGTCCAAGCAGCACTAGCGGCAGGGCGATCTATTGCCCCAGGAACGAAACTCCTCGGTGCCGATGGGGCCGTCGGTATTGTGCGCCACGATCGCAGCGTTCTCCTTACAGCTCTACCACATTCCGGTACGTGTTTTATATACATCATTGTTATTGTCCACCGAAGCGATTTATTTAGGATAATTAAATACGAAAGTCTGATAAAATTTTGCTACAAACTTCTATTTAAAGTTTATAAATCATATATGTCTGGATGGTGATTGTCATTTGTATGTTGTTAAACAGCTTATTCAACATGAAGTCATAATATTATTTTGTTTTACAATATCAAATAGGCTCAAATAATTCAAACTAACCCAAAAAATAAAAGAAAGAAGTACGCAATTGTTTTTTCTTGTTTCATGTAAAAAGTTTTCTAGAAATTGTTGCCTTCAAATTCTTCATCAAATTTCTAAAGAGAGTAAATGGAGTAAACACTTGGTGTAAATTTAGCTCGCGCAGCCCCACCTCCCTATCCTGGTATCCGCCCCCCGGGGAGTGCTGCCCCAACACCGCCTGCAGCGCAACATCAATTACCACATCAGCCGACTCTTGCCGCACACCAGCAGCACCATCAGCCGCCACCTCCACCGTATCCTCAGCAACAGGTATGTGCGAACACGCCATAACACTCCCGTATACATGATATCTAGTAGGAGAAAACTGACAGTTTATGAAAGCTTCTTTATGTTAATTCTTACAATTTTGTGTAGATCATTATAAAATAAATATTTGATTTAAAGCGATTAACCTCAAAGCTTTAGAATTCACGAATTGTCACGTTGCAACTCAGTTCACTGAAAGGTTTCCATTTTATTGAGTGTAAAATACAGTCAATATCGGTATACAATAAGTAAAAGTATGTTTTTGGTAAACACTTTCCAGAATTGAGTTAATTTCTAAGTAATTTGAGAAAATACATTAAGTATTAATTATTTAATATACGATTTAAAACAAACTTAATTACAGTATTTTGCATGTAGTCATTTTGTTTATTTGAAAATAATAATTGTTTAGGTTTGAATTTGTATTACATTTATAAATTCAAACGCTTTTAATGTATGCAGTATTTATAGTGATTTACTTTTATAGATTTCGCAATTTAAAATATTAATTGTTGTAACAAGATGACAACTATTCGTATTGTAATTGTAAATCACTAAGTTTACGATTTCGCTTAATTTTGATCGCCTTGCAGTTAATATTTATGTGTCAAGCGTATAACCAGAAAAATAATTTTGTTTGAGCTTTGGTGGAGGTTCAAATATGTGTAAGTTGAAGAAAAAAGCTTGTTTATGTCAAAAATTATAAATATTGCATGGATTCCTACGGATTTCACACATCTCGTTACGCGACAAGGGTCTCACTTTAGTTATAGGGTTAGTTATAATCTTTAAAACAAGATTCAACGAGATATGTGAACTTTGTATGAATTATATTAGTCTACGACACTCAATTGACGCAGATTTCAAACTGTAACGTTCTATTGTATTATTATATTGGTATTTACAGCGGTTAGCCAGTTTAATCACGGATAATTCCAACGGAAAATTTCGAACAAACTACACCTAAACGTGTACGGACAATGAATTATACGAATGGCGTATGTCTTTAAGTGCACGTGAAAACGTTAGTTACGTCATTGGTAGAATTGAGTGTCGTAGTTGACAGTTAGGCGATACAAGCGTGTTGTTTGCATGTCGGTGATTGGTTGTGGCATCAGATGGCGTATGAGATGTGCGAGGCGTGGCCCGACTGGCTGCCGCGTCGCCCGCTGCTCTTGCAGGTCAGCCCTCGCCCCTTTAGTCCTCGAATCCCACACCTTAAACACCAAGTTATTATTGAACACCACACTCATTAAGTCGAGTTATAATATTATCCAGTACATTTTAAGAAGGCTAAGTAAATAATATCTATGAATATTTGCATAAATATTAATAAATAGAATGACTTTTTGTTTTAAAGTTAGACTATGTTCTCAAGTGTATAAAATATTTGACAATATGAACACTGGTTTAATGGACTGTACAGAAATAGACTGGAACACGTAATATATTTTTTCAATAGTAGAACTCACAGCACCTAGGGTTCAATCCTGAATTTCCTTCCTTACTTCCAACTTAGAGGGTCTTGACACTGCTAGACACCCTAGCGCTTTTCAGAGTTTTCTGCACGCAAGCTTACTACTAACCTTTGTACCTTTTCAGCATCTTCCCTAATATTACACTAACTCGCTCTTAAAATACTAAACTAACAATATTAGCATCATCGCGCGGTGGTGGATTGTACTAGAATTAATATTAAATACAATAAAAAAATAATAGATAATTTTATGCTTAAAAATTTCAGAAACTTTAGTATATCAGTTTTGCATTAAAATATAAAGGCTCAAATTTATCTTTTTTATATAACCTGTTAATTTTAGTTTAAGACCATACAAACCATATGTAGTAAAAGCATAAATTTATATTTGCGTACATTCTCTGCTCTCGCTCTATCCACTACGTGAAGTTAACTTCTTATGTGTTTATACAAATTAATTTGCTCTAGAAAAAATACTATTAAGTTGGCACAAATTATCATTAGTTTCACTTACTTTTAGATGTAATTAAACATTCTTACTGTCGTACCTGAATGTTGCAACGTTGCACTAAATTATAGCTATAATGTAGTTAAATTACAATTATATACTAGTAGTATTGAATGTTCGCCTATTGCAAAATTCACTGCAGATCCCGTTCGGCCTGATGCTAATAGACTTTTCTTTATTCCGTAAAAAGTACTTAACAGTACATTCAAATTGTTATTGACAAGAAAAACAACTTGTTAGAAATATAATCGTTAAGTAACAATATAGAAATACCCTAAAAGTAGTATTGGCGGACATAGTAAATCGTCAAGGATGACGGTTACTGCCGACAGAGAAGCGATATGAAAGCAAACATTTAACCATCAGAACGTAAATCAGGAGCAACCGTTGCTTCTGGAGGAGCTGTTGGAGCAGGAGAAGAGAGAACAGGAGCGTGAGGGTGGGGAGTGGGGTGGTGCCGTAGGAACGGGGGCAGCCGTGGGAGTGGGAACAGCGGGTGTCGCAACGGTGCCCCCACCGGCTGTGCCTCTCTATAGCGGAGTACCGCCACCTGCACCACCACCTCCTCCAGACCGACCTGTCACTGAAGCAGATCATCATGCCCGACTTCTCTACGAACAATGGCTCAAGAACTACAACGCCTACGCAGCTGATCAACTGCGTTACTACGAGGCGGAAGTACAAAAACTCCGTAAGATACGCAAGGTGAGTGCGCCGTAGTAAGCTTTCGTGTTCGTGTGCTTTGTAGTCGCGTGGTAGCCTCCTCCGACTCCCGGTTTTACGTTTCCTTTTTCAGGTATTGTCAAATATTTAGTTCACTTGTGTTAACCGAATGTATGTGTAAACTAACGGGCCTTGTGGGTGCTGCTTCTTTACATAAACCGTACATGAATCGTGTAACGTTTCAGTCGCTGAATAGCAAGCAACGTCAGTTAAGGAAATCTGGAAACGAATTAATGCCGAATGACGCTCAGGAACTACAACGAGTTTCCACTGAACAATCCGCGTTGCAAAAGCACCTGGAAGCTGCAAGAAAACAAGCAAGACAACACAGTATGCTTGTGCAGGTTTGTAATTATTCGACGTGTTAAACGAACTTTGTTATTAGTTTCTTGGTAATAGACAAAAATGTTAATTCCTACTTACAGGAATATGAAACAAAACAACGTCAACAAAATCCGCAGTTGTCGCAGCAAACAGTTATAAATCAACAACAAGTGGCAACAAATCAAAATACGTTTAATCAAAATCAAAATATAGGCCAATCCCCGCAAATGCAACAACAATCTTTAAATCGGCCAATGCAAATCGGTCTTCAAGGCTCTGGAATACAACAACAACAGACACTCATACGAACTCAACAGACCCTCCTAACTGCAGATGGCCAGCCACTGCAGCAACAGAGAATAGGGCTCGTTACTTCACCGTTAAACGCTCAAGGGCGCATACTTCAAGGAGGGCGGACACTTGTCATAGAGCAAACCGGTGCACCTCAACAGCAATTAGTACGACAACTCTCTGGAGTTCAAGAGCGTGCTCAATCAGTTGGTGGCATAGTTCAGTTTGGACAACAACAACTACGGAACGCAATGACTCCGGGAAACCAAACACCAAGGCCTGCTGGTTCCAGGCCGGCGATGTCACCTCTCCATGTTCAATCACCTCATTCGCAGTCACCTCTTCATTCTATAGCTCCTCAGTCACCCTTACACCACTTAACTTCACCAATGCAATCGCCACTTCATTCGCAACAATCTCCGTTGCATCACACTTCTCAATCCCCTTTACATTCATCAACGCAATCACCTCTTCATACTCAGCAGTCTCCAATGCATTCGCAACAATCTCCAATGCACGTGCAAGGGTCGAACCATCCGCAGCAAAGTCCAATGCATCCACAACAAAGTCCGATGCATCCGCAACAGTCGCCAATACACCAACAATCACCACTTCATGCGCAGAATCAAATGACAGCGCATTCACCGATGCATCCTCAACAAAGTCCGATGCATCCCCATCAAAGTCCCATGCATCCTCAACAAAGTCCTATGCATCCCCAGCAAAGTCCAATGCACCCGCAACAGAGTCCGATGCATTCCCAACAGTCGCCAATGCACATACAACAGTCACCGTTACATACTCAACAATCGCCAATGCAATCGTCTATGTCACCACAGCATTTTCTGCAACAGCTGCAGGCACAAAGGACGAGTCCCCAATTACCAACACCGAGTCGGAGTCCGCAGGTACATATCTCTAAATTCGTTTTTAAATACGGTTTTAAATGAAAGAAAGAAATTATATACATTTATTATTTTACATACGTATTCGTTCCCTTTTCAGATATATCAACAATCTCAAATACAGAGCCCCGTAACATCTCACTCACCACAATTACAAAGTGTATGTTTTTATTATTATTTTAATAATTTCTTTATTTAATGAAATCATTGTAAAGTAAACGTTGAACTCTTTATTTTCCTTTAGAACGACTACACGGGAAGATTTTCTCGCCCGGCTCCAGGTTGTTCACCCTTACCGACGCGATTCGCTCGACCGCCACATCATCAACAGGGTTAGAATTATTTATCCTTAAAATTATTATTATAGTTCTTTTAATATAAGTTCAAAGTTTTTAAGTGTATTGTAACATTTTATACTTTTGTATTGACCTTGTATTTATGTAACTGTCTCTTTTTTTTAGGAATGAGAGTTGGAGTGCCTTTTGGTACGCGACAACAAACTTCGCCGTTAGGCAGTCCACAACCCCTCCCATCACCTGGAAACAATTCTAATGAAATTGCTGTGAGTATATTGTTAATTGTTGTGTCCACTTTTCACAAAAATAAACATTAAATAAATAAGTTACTAATTTTTCTGTCTTTTTTCAGAGACAGCAAATGCTTCAACGCCAACAATATAGCCCAATGGGAGGGGCACCAGCTTCGCCTTCAGTGTCGCGCTCGCCACACGTTGCAAGAACTCCTACTCCGTCAGCTTCACCTGCTGCATCACCAGCACCTCCTCATCATGACCATGGTGGTGGACACCATCATCATATAGCTCCAATACCACCCGGATACAGATACTTCAAACCAGGTCTATTTGGAGGCGGGCCAGGCTGGCCACCCAAAGAAGAAGATCGCCGTAGAGGACACGTTAGCAAAATATCAATATTAAAACGTGGAACGCCGCGACCACGTTTCTCTGGAAAGACAGCTGCACCTGATGCACACCAAGATGATGGGGAGTCGAGTGATGCAAGGAAATATGTATTATATTCCACGGAGAGTGTTGATTATGCTTCGTCAGATGCTAGAATGAGTTTTTCTAAAGAGGACGATGATCTAGAAAACTTAGTCGAAACCATGGATGATGATGATATAGTAGTAGTCGAGCCGGGAGCTATATCTCCTGAAGAACGTATTGCTACGGAGGAAGATTTCGAAGAATTAATTGATAGTGGAAAACCGGAAGATGAGGCAGATGAGGAAACTCATGACAAGACAGCCACAAGAACTGAAACCACGACTAAAACTGTTGCTGTAATTAGCTTAGCGACAGCAAAGCAACCTACTGGTAATTTACAACAGTATAAACTAGTGAATTCTTCAAACTCCGGTTTGACGCGGTTACCCGTCTTGAGTGCTACAGTTCTATCACCCCACTCTAATACAAAGATTCTAAACGAAGTTTCTCAGGCAACTGTTGCTTCAGTTTCGATTGCAAATCAAACAATTTCAGTACCCGTTTTAAAAAATCTTTCTGTTCCGATCGGAAGCGTGACAGGACATAGCAGTGGATTATCGAAAACACAAATAAAGAAAGTGCCTTTGAATATAACGGCAAATCAACAATTAAGTTTATCATCACAGCAACTTAGTAAACCGTTAAGCTCAGTTATTAGCGTAATATCTTCAAATGTGCCCAAAGGCTCGTGTATAAATCCTGTCATTACTCTAGCCACATCAAACACAATGTCAGGACAGTCACGAGTCCCGGTCACCATAATGACCCAACATCAAGTAAAACAAAAGATTGTCAAAACAATAGAAAAACCTATGGGATTATCTCTCTCAAATACTAAATTGTCCAGTTTATCAGTGACACACGATGCTACGTTACCTGCTAAAATATTTCAGGACGATGCTGCTTCTCCCGATAGTACTGTTGTATCTGAGAGTGGTCATGAGCAACCGCCAGCTGCTCCTACATCAGCACAACATAATATTACTCTGTCGTCAGTTACCCAGGAATCAATACAAAAAGACTTAAAGCTACCGTTAAAAGACAATAACAAAGACATTGACATCGAAAATGAAATAAGTCAGCAAACTGAGCTACCTCATAGTCTTTGTTTGACTGATCGAACACCGTTGTTATTAGGGAAAGCAGATATAAAAAGTCCAGACCCAATACCAGAAAAAATTCCCGATAATATTATGGAAGGGGATGACGAAGACAAACCAGAAGATAACATTCAAAATAATTTAATGCTCTCTTATGGTAAGTCAACCCATGAACCGTCGACAACAGGGACTAAAACAGATGATAACGTAGTTAAGACTATAAAAGCAATCGCTAATCAAACTAAAGAAATGGTAATTGGCTCTAATATGCAAATATCATCTGATATGGCCCAAGAGTCAGTACAGATATCAATTCCTTCGCCAACCCCTTCACAGGAACGATATCTTAATGATATTACTATGAGAGAACACACGGAAACCGTAGAAGGTAATTCTAAACATGTTGAATCATTTGAGGATATGTTATGTATGCTTGATAATATAGGTGAAGATGGGAAACAATATGGCTCTAAACAACAACAGTCTAAGCAGGCAGCATCAATGCACAATCCTTCTAATCCAATAAACAATCCTACACCGCAACAAGACATTAAAGAAATGCAAGAACCTTACCAAACGCGGGAACAGGAAAGATTAGGCATGCAATCAGCGAGTGTCCCCCAATTATCGCCCTTATCCCAGCCCGCTGAAATGACATCTAATATGGCTAGTGTTTCACAACAGTTAAGAACTATAATGTCGTCTCTTAATACAAATACATCAAAAGCGGACCTGCAAACAGTTACAAGAAAAAGTGATGCGACTACTCCCACTCAAGTGAACTATGAGAATTTGTTACCATCTTCGAAGGTTGAAGTTGCCGCACCGAGACCCTCACCTATACAAAAAATTGAGAAGTCTCCGACATCAATTTCTTGTTCAGATACAATGCCTATGAGTGCAGCGCAAGCGTTTGGATCTCGTGTAAATACTTTGTCTACGATGGGGCAGATACGAAAGTCGCCAACAGTGTCGCCAATTAACTCTCCAGTTAATATGCCAAATAATTTGATGAAATCACCTGCACAATCTCCTCTTATAACTACTCAAACAATGACGAATCAATCATTCAATCCTAATGATGATACCATTGCGACATCGATACAATCGCAAATAATACAAATGCCTGCTTTGTCCAAAATTCAAAATAATTTAAGCACATCACAAGTGATATACTCACATAACAACACTATTACGACAAGTATAAGTAATTTTCAAAAATCTCAAGTATTGCCAACAAGTATATTAGGACACACGTTACTTCAACCTGCGAGACAAATTAATACTAGTAACCTTCAGTTTAATCCGCAAAACATAAGCTCCAGTCAGCCACCCGCGCTCGTAATGACATCGAGGTCAATTTTAACCAACAAAGAACCCGCTCCTAATGTAACCGTACGTACGCATAGTATAGTCAATTCTGGTATAAATCAAATGCAAATAAAGCAAACTCAGGGTCCACTTAACTTTATAACTTCCTCAAAATTGTTGCATACTCAACTTACTTCTCCTTTGAAAAGATCTAAGTCTACAGACGAGCCAAAAAGTGAAGTTATTGTAGGACACATACAACCTACAAAACGGCATAGCGTTGAGTCAGTCATTGTTAAATCGGAACCTATGGAAACTGATGAGCAAAATTCAACTACTACGATTGCTGATAATACTGTAAATAAAAATTTACAACAACAAACCGCTAATCAAAGAAACGATGAATCCCAAAATGTTTTATTAAAACAACTTTTACAAACAACGACTACGACGTCGAACGTCGTGCCACAACGGACAGTAACAATTCAAAGAACGGCGCCAGCCTTAGGAACAATACCATCGTTAGAAGCACAATTAGCGAGACCTTCTATTCCACCTCCTACAATATCTTTAACACAAGAGGTTGAAATACCAAAGAATTCCCCAAGACACGTAACAAACGTCAGTCAACCTTTTACAAGCCGACCATTGACTATTCCTACATCATCTATGTCGCCGATGTTGCACACGTCAACTCAGTCCTTAATGGACGTAAGAAAACAACCTGTAAAATTAATTAACAAAGAAGATACAACACCACTTCCTGAGAGTTCCCCTACCATGAAATCTTTGCCGATGTATCCAATGAGTGTAGAAAATCAACAAATATTACAACATCAACAAATGATAAAAAAAGAAGTACTTCCACCACAACAAAGTCCTATCCATAGGCCATTTACCCCGATGGATGTGAAAAAAGAACTTCTAGATGAAAGCTCGCAACAATCCGCGACATCTGGTGTGTCAACTGCTTCAGACCAAGGAAAGCTTGACCAACCACTAAAAGAGGAATATCCGGAAAGCGTTATTATGGATAACGTATCTGAAATAAATCCTTCAGAAACTCCATCTGAAGCAAAAAAACGTAAAAGAAGGGAATATCAACAAAAAAAGAGGAAGCAAATGCAGATGAATTTAAAAGCAGCTACAGAAAATGGTATTAATGCTGCAGCCAAGAAAAGGCCCCGAAAGGGCTCCAGATATGAAGAAGATTATGACACTTTTATAGATAACCTAATGGCACAGTTACGTCTTTTACCTCCAATGCAAATTCAAGAACCATCTCTGACTACAAATTTTGCAGTTTGTCCGTTGTTTGGATCAGGAGATTTAACGAAATTGAAAAACAAAGACTATGATATATTAAGAGGTGACTTAGTTGGTGAATTTGGCAATGCTAAAATTCCTAACGTGGCGGATTACTATAACACCAAACCATTTGGAGATGAGGAACCATTGCCTGAGAAACCAGCCGCGTCTACGCAACGAGGATTTTACGACCAGGAGTTTCAACCGATATTATTTGAAGAAGACCCCGAAGATAAAAAACTTGACTTCATTTGTAAAGAGCGTGACACAGATACACCGGACACTATCGTTAGTTGCTCGAGCCCAGAAGGATTTGAAATTGAATCGGATGATAGATTCCCAGGCCTTAAACTCATTGATGATGATGAAGAAGAAGATGACGAAGAACTGATTACGCCTGGTCGCATATCTCCTGTTATTCCTATCATTACTCCCATACCTATTAGAGTTAAACCATTATCCTTATACCAACTAAAGGATGAGGAAGATGGTCACAAACAATTAAAGACTATTGAGAATGATTCTCTTGTTAAGACAAAACTAGAAGACTCGCCGAGCAACACAGATAGTAATGAGAACGTAACCGTAACTCTTACCCTTACTTCGGGAGCTGCAGAAGATATATTAGGAGTCCTAAAAGAATTAGCGGGTATTTTGCATATTCCACCACCTACATCTTATCAAATTGTTGAACGTACGGCTACACCGCCCTCTCATAAATTGGGATTATATAGATCAAAAGGAAAGGATGGTAAAGAAGGAGCACCCATTGATATTCAAAGCATTTTGAACGGTGCTGCCAAGTTCTGTCGGCACTGTGATGTTGTTATACTAGATTCCGTAGTGAGAGCGAAGGCGTCGGAATTTCCATTACTAGCAGCAAACAAAGGCAACGCTGAAGAAATTCTTTGTGACAGTGATTCAGAGCTGTATTTTTGTAGCACCCAATGTTATGAGCGTTTTGCATGGCGACCAACAAATATTATTCTCGACGGAAAATCCAAAACAACAATAAAAGAGGATAGTAAATCGGATATTGAAACAAATTTGTCCAAAGATCGAGATGATTTCGACACAGCTTCGACTGAAAGTATGGAAACCGACGACTTAGACATTAAGCCGGATATCAAAGATGAAAAAATGGACTTATCCTTCATGGACTCGTTAGATAATGATGAGCTGATGAAGGAAGTGGGTGACGACGTTAACGTGTTAGATGAAGATTTAAAGAGTGTCGAAACTGATGAAAAAAGTAATCATAGCGTCGAGAAGGAGAAGTTTAAAGGAATTCGTTACAAATCGTGGGCCCCAGGATGTATTGGACCGCCATTTAAATATAAACGCCCGACAGATCGGGAGCTCACGGAGTTGGTTTTCCGCACGGGCGTCGCAATTATGCCCGTCACGAATGAAGACAGTAGAAAGTGTGAATTGTGTGGAATCCAAGGGGATGGTGTTGCTGATGGAGTATCAAGGTTGTTAAACTCTGATGTCGATCGATGGGTACATTTAAACTGTGCACTTTGGTCCCAGGGCGTGTATGAGACAGTAAACGGAGCACTCATAAATGTGGATAACGCGTTAGCGGTAGGGTCGAGCGCCACTTGTGCCGTTTGCAGAAGACTGGGGGCAACCGTGAGATGCTTCAAAGTTCGGTGTGGAAGCTTATATCATCTCGGCTGTGCTGTGAAAGATAACTGTGTCTTTTATAAAAATAAGACGGCTTTCTGCGCTTCGCATGCGCCTAAGGTATGATTTTAAGATTTTCTATAAAAAATATAAAACAACCGGTTAAAATCCAATATATAAATATTTTATTTAGAGCTATAGGCAATACGTAGGCTGTTTTTTTAACTTTACTGAAGTAACTGTAAAAATCTTGTAATCAATATTTTCGAACAAATGCTTTGTCCATATTTTTTACTTTATTTCATTTTAATAACAGAACGAAAAGGACAACGAGTTAACAACGTTGAGTGTACAACGTCGCGTCTACATAGCTCGCGACGAACAGCGTCAGGTCGCTTCCGTGATGTTACACTCTGACACGAACCACCTTATAAGAGTTGGTGGTCTTATCTTCCTTAGTCCTGGACATCTTCTGCCACACCAGCTTGCTGCTTTCCACACACCCAACTATATTTACCCCATCGGATACAAGATCGTATGTAATTTTTTTTTGTATATTTAGCCTTTTCTATATAATAATGTGTATAGATGATATAATTATAGAATGCAACATTCAATATCGTAAAAAATATATTCATTTTCAAGTGCGGCGTTTTAGTGTATATAAACTAGGGTTAAATGAAAGACGATTTGCACTAGGTTCGTTTCTTTTGGTCGATGACTCGCGCAAACAGCCGCTGTCGTTACGTATGCTGGATCTCTGAGGAAGAAGGAAAACCGAGGTTCCACGTGCGTGTTCAGGATGACTCGAGGCAGGAAATGTGTGCTCCAACGCCGCGAGCCGCTTGGGCAGCAGTAAGTCATCTATTTTAATTACATAGAAGTGAAATCACAGAGACTGCGAAGAAATTGTCTGATTATGGTCATTTTCATTAATCATCTTAAATTTAATTAAGCACAGTAAAGCCTTATCTTATTATAGGTGTTAGACGCAGTGGCTGCTTTAAGAGAAGCTAGGAATGAAGATGGCGTATTAAAATTATGGCCCAACTATGTGACGGGAGAAGATCTGTTTGGACTCACCGAACCTGCCGTTGTTCGAGTATTAGAGAGCTTACCTGGTAGGGAAATTTATTTCAAAATACTAGAATAACTAGTATTAGGTATTAGACTACAAAACTACAATATTATAAGCTTTAATGTTTGTTATACTTAATTTTTACTAACTTTAATTCTTCCTAATAGTATCTTATCGCGGTTGCAATTGAACAGGTATCGAGACGCTGACAGACTATCGCTTCAAGTTTGGGCGTTCCGCATTGCTCGAGGGTGGTCTCGCGGTGAATCCTTCGGGGTGTGCGCGTTGCGAGGCTCGCTGCGCACGTGTTTGGCGCCGAAATACGAGATCGCTATTACCTACTCAGCCACCGCCTGCTGCTGCCCTAGACAGTCCCGCCTGCCCTTACTCCAAACAGTTCGTTCACACGAAGAGCAGCCAGTACAAGAAAATGAAGCTCGAATGGCGGAACAACGTTTATTTAGCGAGGTTAGTAATAAACACTTAATAGCGCAAAACACATAGAAATTAACAGAAGCACAAAAATAGTATTTAATATATTTTACTTGAGGATTTTAGTACTTATCATAAATTCAAGAGAAATGTCCTAGGTCTGTTTTCTGCAATAATAAATAGGAGTATTAAAAAAGGTTTTTTTTTTTTATATAGGTCAAAAATACAAGGCTTGGGATTGTACGCGGCTCGTGATTTAGAAAAGCACACGATGGTGATAGAATATATCGGTGAAATTATACGGTCTGAACTCTCCGAGATTCGTGAGAAGCAGTACGAAGCAAGGGTGTGTATCCTTAATATTTTTCATTGGGACTTCCGAGTGATCAGAATTGATCAACGTATGTAGTGTGTACAATCGTCAAACAGTGTTAGATTTAAAATTGATTAATTGTTTATTTTTAAATTGGCCTCCCTATTGTTTCCTTTCTCTAAAATTGATTTATATGTTTATTAAATATAATTTGTAGTGATTTATAATTTATATGGTTTATTTTTGATCGTGCGATTATACGCAGAACCGCGGCATTTACATGTTCCGCCTGGACGAGCGACGCGTGGTGGACGCTACGCTTTGCGGTGGCCTCGCGCGATACATCAACCACTCGTGCCAGCCTAACTGCGTCGCGGAGACCGTGGAGGTCGATCGACATCTGCGCATCATTATATTTGCCAAGAGGCGCATCTCCCGCGGAGAAGAGGTGAATTCATTCACTGTATTGTGTATTTTTAAACACATTTGCGCTCCTATACTTTGTCTAATATATTATCTTTACTATATAATAGTAAATCTATGGTAGAACAAAAATAAATTTGATTATTGGTTGAATTTTTTTGATACGAGAAGTTTGAGAATCCAGCCCAAGTCTTATTTTAGTTGTTAGTGTAATCTTACACTAAAGTAAAGTAAAATATTAATAATTGGTTTGAACCTTAATAATGTTTTCCTATCAGTTGGCGTACGACTACAAATTCGACATAGAAGATGACGCTCACAAAATTATGTGTATGTGCGGCGCTCCCAACTGCCGTAAGTGGATGAATTGAACATCTCCGAGTTAGGCAAGGCTCACACTGAAGATATCAACACAAAGCTAGTATAGAAGCTCTTAGACGTATTAAGAAATTTGTTAAGCGAGTACTTGGCAATCTGTGTGATCGTTTATTTATTCGGGTAGTGGCTATGAGTGTTATCGTGATTTATATTTAGGATACATTTACACATTGACCGACAAACATACGACATGAAGTATCATAGTTTTATATCTAAAATCATTGTTATTATGAATTAAAAATTTTGACGAGAGTTTTTCGAATGTAATAATTTTATGAAAGTAGATTTAGGTCTTATATTTTACAGCGTTCTTTTATACTTTCGAATGTTTATTTACTGTTGCTGTCAACTTTATTCTATTTAAATATCTTGTAAATATGTAAATTTAAGTTTATTTTTGGTTGAAAACAATCTTTTAGTCTTTAGGGGTCCTATTATTAGTAATCGATAAAATCTCATGTTTGCAACGCGAATAAGTGGTACATGTGTATACACGATCTAAGTTATTGATCAATTAACACATCGGATATGACAGCAAATTTCGAAATGCTGCAGTTTAGTTTTTTATACCGTAATTTATGTTTTAGATTGTCATCATGAATTATTTCGTTTATTCAAGATTTGTAAATATTTTTATATTAAAATTGAACATAGACTATTATGGAATTACTTTGTGGACATGTAAGACCACATCGTGCCTCACAGTTTTGTATGTAGCACGTAGGTTAGACATAAGGATACCACAGGGCGCCTTCTTTAGCTAGTTTAGATTAGCTTTAGGTAACTCATTACAATGCAGTGTGTATCCAAGTCAAGATCTTAGGTCATTATTGCATGACCAGTGATTTTACTAAAGCAATTGAAAAAGTAAATATTTAGGTGATTAGGTATAGGCATGTGATATCTCACTAATAGTCACTAAAGCAAAGAAATGGCCATTCTCTTAGTATTGAGATATTTTGCCTAATTGATACCGATTAGGTTTGGTCTTTTGTTATCATTTATCAGTACTTCATGTGGAGACTGCGGTCGCAAAATCAATATGTTTAGATTTTTTACAATTGCAGGTAATATTAAAGTACTGTAAACTGGGTAATTGATGTTTTGAAATATATAACGCAAATGTTATTCCTTGCGTCAGTAAGTTACCCTGATAGATTCAAATACTATTAACAAATTTAGGCATAGTTAGATAGTAGTATGAGGATAATAATAAAAAACCACATATTTAAAACTGCTTTGGGTCTAAAAGTAAAAGTACGATCTACTACTAGTTAAATATCAATAATAAGACGATGTTATGTATATTGTTTTATCTATTTCTATAACACCTAACCGCATACACACCATTGTGATAAAGAATTATGTAAGGATGTTACTTATCTGTATCAATCTTAACTCTATTGTAAAGTATTTTTTGACGAAATGAAATCAGTAATCGAGCGATTTAGTTTAAGTGTCTTGTGCAATATCTTATGATACAGTTTTGTAAATAATGAAGTCATAATAATCAACAACTAGAGATACATAGGATTTCTATAGTTATGAACGCTTCGTGCGAGTGGTAATGAAATTCTTTCCATCAATTTATTTTAATGCATTCCCATCCTTGTACATGCAATGATATTGTTACATTTTGGTCGCTTAAAACGCGTAATGTATTATTTAGTTTCATGAAATGACTATGTATAGGTTAGAATAATTATAGCCTGATGTGTAGTATCATTGTTTGTACATTCATATAAAATTTGTGTAATATTTTTAAAAAGGAATTGTGTATGCTTCAATATTCCAATTGAACGTTTTACAATTAATATTTTTGTCACATTATTTTCTAATTATTATAAATTTTAATTAGTAATTGAGTGTTTTCTTTGATGTTTTCCTTTTTCTCTTATCTTGTTAAAACGTTTTAGATTACTGGGTCGAAAAACTGTGAGTGAAAAAAAAAATATTTGTCCACTCAATGTGTCGTAAAATTAAAACACACGTTGTGTTTGATAAAAATTTTATTACAAACATTTTTGAACTTAATTTAATGCAAAAATAATATACCGAAGAACAATCCTAAGTAAATCTGGAAAATCAGCTGTTGATCGCAACAAACTGTTGGAAACGGCCCGTCGTGATTAGTGAAGCCTTGTCAACTATAAATATCATTTATAACTTTAGAATTTATATCCAATATGGTTCTAGCGAATGCGTAACAGATCCATAACTATCCTACTTAAACCTAACGCTTTGAACTCATCCACGTTTGTGATGGTGACAGTAAAGGAGTTCGTCGCAGAATAGTTTCACAGTTCATTATCACTACACTTGTGCTTCAGGTCCTTATAACGTGACTTGTAACTACAGAAAGTAGGAACAATTATACAACTATTCAAATGACCAGCCGTTTCGTTAATTACATAAATAAAATAAAAGAAACCTATTTTGAAACGATTGAAATAAGTTATAAAAATAATCATTTATAATATGTACACAAGGAGCGTGTTAGTTTATTGAATTTATTATCACTTGATTGAACTTGGAATGAGATACTGACAGTACACAATAAATTATCATAAAGAAAGGACTTTACTAGATAACAAATTTTCACATGTTAATGATAAAAGAGACAAGCGCAATACTATTATTATATAAAACGCAAAATAATACACCGCTACCAAAAGTGTGGTTAAAAACCGCACAAAACATGCATGATATAACTTCAACTAATTTAGAAGAAGAAAATTCTTTTATGTCACAAACAAATTTCATAAGAAATAGAAGAGTTCTGTAATATGTCTATTTGTATGATAATTATTTTGAAGACGTCAAATTTTTGAAACAATTAACTAATTACAAAAAAACTTGAAATAATTCACTAATTACATTACACATACAGTATTTGTAGGTTCTGCTGAACTTAATAAGACTATGAAATTACCTAAAAGCATCTTAAGGTGAAAATAATTATAAACGCTGCAATTGAAACAACTCGCTAGAATTCAGTAATATTTGAATTTCATGAACAAAACCAAGCATTCATGTAAGAGGGAAAAAAATATTTTTTTGTAGGTACCAGTGATGCGATTTTAAATTTACCACCAGCCTACCACACCTGCCATAACAATTTCACTCTATATAAATATTATGTCTTTAATGTGTTAAGAATTATCATAAAAAGATGAAAAAAAAGTATTAGAGTAAAATACTCATAAATCTTCCCATACTAGTAACACCTGTCAAAAGATTTTAGACAACACCTCTTAGTTAGAAAAAGGATCTTTTTGTAAAACAGAAATGACAATGATATTATACAATAAACCCAATTAGAATTCTAATTTTGTACCCTATCACGGCAGTGTGAATATAAGATTGCATAATCTAAGGTTAAAGTTATCAAAATCTAACCTGCATGATAGTCGCAAAAATACTGATACTATTCTTTACTGCTTTACACATATTTTATTTCTGCATTAGAAGGGACACCGAAATAACATAATCAAAAAAATTTAAACATGATACACATGGTGTAATTCGAGATTTAGTTAAATTGAAGATTTTAAACAAATGAAACATGTATTAATTCTAATGGATCATGTCTAATATTTTATAAGGCATAGTTTAAATGAAATCAAGTCAACTGTCTGTACCTTTAAACTCTCATTCATAAGTGTGTAGTTAATCCACATTTAACTAAATTTCGCTGAGCGCACTTGGCATGGAGGCCGGTGTTGTTGACTGGCGAGGTGTGTGAAGCGAGCGCTCATGGGCGGAGGGTTCAGTCGATGTACTGCGCCAGCCAACGGAATCCCTCACCATAACCTTGGCGTTTTAGCACTGAGCACATAAACAGTTCCAGTGGTCGTCCGGCCAACTCTGCCCTTGGTACTTTGCCCTATATAATACAAACAAAAACTTTTACTAAAACATAATTTTAAAAAAATGTGAAATCCTGTTTCTCCCTCATGGGGTGTGAGGCGAACACATTTCTGTGTCCGTTTCAATAATCCGTTCTTTTTAACAGGCAAGTACATGATCAGACTTCTGTGCCCTACTCGATTGGAACAACTTTTTTTTGTTTCCCTGGGAATCGAACCCAGGACCTCTCGCGTAGAACGCAATGCTACGTTTAACCATTTGGCTACAGAGGCAGTTAAAACATAATACAGACAGATATAAAAAAAAATGCAATTAATTAAAATTTTTGGGTTAATTTGACTCCATTTGTAGCTGTTGATTACCTTTCCAGTTGTCAACTGATATAGTTTGAAGAATTGTCTAAGTTCATCTTCACTTGCCGCCCCGTGCTTGTCTATCTTGTTACCAAGAATTAGTATGGGACAGTTACTGAGTGTTTCATCAGTGAGTAAAGAGTCTAACTCATCCTTGGATTCTTTGAAGCGTGGAGTGTCACAGACGTCAATTAAAAATACAATGGCATCAACGGCTGGGAAGTAGTCACGCCAGACACGACGTGCCTGCTGGTGACCGCCTAAGTCGAAGGTGGTAAACCTCATATTGCCTATTGACAATTCTTCTGATGCTACAAAAATGAGTAAACAAATAAATATTTGGATGTGTTTGAAAAACAGTACTTCTATGTCAAAGTACAAAATAAAAATTATTAAAAAGGCTATTATTTTTCACATAATACTGAATACAATTTGACATTTATTAAATAATAAATAAATCTATTAAGATTTTTATAATATAAGGTCATATAAAATTAAATCTAATAGACTTAAAAAAAAAACTATTGTAATGTACTTTAATTTGGCAGAGTTGAAATAATAATAATACATCAAATTAAGCAGTTTTCATATCAAAAAGAATCTTAATTTTATATAATTAAGTTATCATTGAATATTACTTTGAAGGTTTAACATTAGCATAAGGCCAAAGTGTAAAAAGTAGGCAATGCTGTTTAAGCTTTCTCATCTAAATATATATGTATGTGTAATTTAAATGAACTAAAAGGCTCTTACTTGGATGTAAGGTGGGTACATGTTGTGCCAGCCTGTCATCCTTCAACATATGCAACAGTGTGGTTTTGCCTGCATTATCTAAACCCAGGAACAAAAGCTTTCCAGACTTCTTATAAAGACCTATGTCAAGGAAACAATTAGAAATTGTATTATTGTAAATACTGTAATAAGAAATGTATTTCAATTATTAAAGTTATAATGTTCTTTAGGGGACACAGATAGATGGCCTTGTGATCAGTCCACACTATGTTGACCATTTTACCTATATAATACAGGGATAATAAAGAATAATAATAGCTTTGGTGATAAATGAATGTAATAAACATAAAGCATTATCCGTATAATATGATTGAGTTGAGGTTTCTTTAAAAAACATGGTTATTGTTCCTTAAATGGAATTTTTATTATTTGTTATCCAAAATCAACATTACTTTATAACTTACCCAAGAAACCGAGCACACCAGTAAACCAATCCCAGATAAACATTATGACTCTGAAATATTTAAAGTACTTATTATATCATCACTTATTTCACATACTCCTTTTAAGACGACACAAAGAAATTTCACTGAAGATGACTTGCATGTATGTATTTTAATTAGATAGATTGTGAAGATTTAATCAGCTTCGGAACATCACATTAGCATCCTTTGCGAAAAGAATAGTGTTTGGTTAGCGTAAGTTACTATACTATTGCCGAAAAACTTATTGAGTAATAAAATGACAAGACGTCATGCGTAGTTGGAACTTGAACCATGAACACATACGATATAAACATAATACTCACATTAAATATATTTAGCTACGGTATTTAATACTTAAAATCTGATTTCGTGAATATTGCTAGCTTATTTGCAATGTGTTTTATTAAAAATCGAAATTTTATCCAATTTTAATGACAAAGATGAGACTATCAAACTGTTGGCACTTGGCAATGACGTGAACTACTTCCGGTTTACGCAAACGCCATACACTAAGTGCTGCCAGATAATCAAACTATTTTATACATATTAATTTTTTTATACAGATTAAATTACATTTTATACAAATTAAAATACCTTAACATTTTTCTTTTACCTTTATGTCGCCATCGTGACCGGTGCACAATGCGTATATAAATTTTATTCTGAAATAGATGTAGCAAGGAATGGACTATCCAGTCTCAATTTAAATTAGATAAAAGTACAGAACACTTACTTTAAAGAATTTTATGTGTTGCATTAGTTTCGTTTGCATAGATAAATAAGTAATTTAAGACGTCCATATTAAATTTAAGTTCAAATTTGTGAAAAAATTATAAAAAACATAGGTTAATCAATGTTCGAATCCTCAAGTTTTATTAAGTAATAAAGTATTCTGCTAGAAACTATGTAATCTAAACGCTCTAATGCTCTGTCGTTAGATAATTATATAACAATAAATTACCTTTTTAATCTAAAATGTAATAATTATCCATTTTATCTAATGTTATTTTTCAATAAACATTGGCAACGCTCATATTGTTTATATTTAAATGAGTTACAGTCGGAACTCAGAAAATAATTCTTTGTATATATAATTTTTTACTTGTAATACCTCTTCCGCCCATAGAGTATGGTGTTGTTTTCATAGACAAATAACTTTATCTATCTTCTGTTTAAAAACTACAAGCATGTGTTTATGTGAAATTAACTCAACAATTTATTTAGTTTACTTCAAACAAATCAAAAGAAAAAATCAGGCAATTAAATATGTATTTAAAAAAAATATCAGGGTCTTGTATAAAAAAACTTATGCTAGAGTAATAAAGTTACTATTTATTTTCTGTGACCCCGGTTGTTTTTTGACAGCTTAAACCATTCAGTTGTTGACAGATAATATGACTTGAATATTTTGACATTTGCTTATGAGCCTGTCTTTTTATTGTTTGACAGCTTTTAAGCTAAAGGTATTTTATTTTTACAGATAAATTTTCTACTTATTTTGAGTAAAATCTGAAAAATAATATATGAAAATTGATTGTACAAAATGTTTACACCCTGTTTATGAGATATAAGTAAAATCAAGAGTAGGATTTTTAAGATATTCAGTGATTTAAAAGGTGTTCATCGGTGTTGTGTTTTCAGGCTAAATCATGGCCCCAAGAAAAAACAAAGTTGCAAAAGAAGAGGTTCAAGTGACCCTCGGACCTCAGCATTTGGCAGGTGAAACTGTTTTTGGTGTGGCACATATATTTGCCTCATTCAATGACACTTTTGTTCACGTTACTGACTTGTCTGGACGGGAAACCATCGCCAGGGTGACTGGAGGCATGAAAGTCAAGGCTGATCGTGATGAAGCTTCACCCTATGCTGCTATGTTAGCCGCTCAGGTTAGAATTTGGTTTGTTTACGTCTTCGTTTTTGCCATTGTTTCGACTTTTATAACCTCTATTTTATTGAGTAATATTAATTCTTAACAATATTTAGTAATTTAAATAAAACACTTTAACGGTTTAAAACGTGATATATTAGTTAAACTTATTTGTCTCCCCGTGACCACGGCTACTGCAAACCATCCGAAACGTCGGGCCGAAGTTAAAAATCATTTTCAAATAAGTAACTAATATATAGCGTTTTAAACCGTTAAAGTGTTTTATTTAAATGTGTACTACTCGCGTAAACTATAGACAGTATTTAATATTTAGTAAATTCGTTACTCTTGCAATAATGACAGCAAATTTTGTACCAGGGTAATATTTTATATCATAAATAGAAAGCCAAAAGGCGGGCTTCTGTTGGTGTCCCTAAAAGAAAATAATAATAATATACCATAATCTTCAGCAGCACCAAGGTTGCAAGATTTCCTATTTGGCTATAGATAAAATTTCAATGTAATGAACACTGATTTGTTTGCTCTCACATTCGTAATTTTAATTTGTACTTCATTTTGGTTTTCTAGGATGTTGCGGAAAAGTGCAAGACATTAGGAATCACTGCTCTACACATAAAACTGCGTGCAACTGGAGGCAACAAGACCAAGACCCCTGGTCCTGGAGCACAATCTGCTTTGAGAGCGTTGGCACGTTCCAATATGAAGATTGGCCGCATTGAAGATGTTACGCCTGTACCATCAGACTCCACCAGGAGGAAGGGTGGTCGTCGTGGTCGCAGATTGTAATTTTTAGTACTAAGTCAATTGTATGCTTCAATAAAGTGGTGTACAGTTAAATTGTTTATTATTTTATCTTCAGAAAAAAAGGGTTCTAACAGAGGAAATATTTGTAGCAATGCTTACTTACATTTATGAAAATATATTTTTTTACCTAAATTATACAATATAATACAAATAGTTTGACAAGCATAAGTATTTAGTACATATTATGTTCTAATAAATTGAAAACATTACCAACTTAGTAGCTCAATTGGATAGAACAGCATGCTAAGATTGAGAATGCCAGTTCAAGTCCTGCCCAAATGCAATCATGTGCAATAATAACATGTTCTCAAATACCTGTGTTTGTATCTCGTATTGTAGAAATACATAAAAATTAAAAAGATTTATTTAAAATTCATGCCTGTTTATCTAAAATGGAAATTTAATTATGGGATTGATGATCATGAGCACAGATAAAGTAAAATAAATCAGTAGATATGTTAAGACTGTGAAATTAAAAACATAAAACAGGCAACCCAAATGTAAGCAGCCATCTTGAATTTATTTTTGCAGTCGGGAAATGATTTGATAATTGATGTAAAATGTATGTGAATGAATCCTCCTAAGTTTTTAAAATTGTTCAAAATAATGAAAGTACAGATTCAAAGTATATTTTTGCCAAATTTTTGACTAGTCTACAAAGTGGAAATATTTTAGTTTACACAGTTCTAATTCTAAAAAGTTATCAATAAAACAAATCAGCTGTTATCCGTCAATCGATGTCAACAATATTACATAATTTTGTTTAGAAAAACAGTGAAGTTTTTATTATTGGTGTCATTATTTTGAAATTGGTAAAAATGTATTTTGAAATGTATTCGACTTTGCACAAATTGTTGTGTTAAACTCGTAATAAAAACCATAAATTTAATCCTCTGTAGTGTTTTCTAAATAATGTAGGCCAATATAATTAGTTATGGATCGTAATAATATAATAGAATGCGGTGGATTTTATTTCATTCATAATTTTGATTCTGGAAATTTGGGGCATGTTGAAAGAGTCCCGACGGAGCTAATAGGTAAGAAAATTAGTAAACCAAAACTAAATATTTATTGACTTAATATTATAAATCCTTTATATTGATTAATGACATTAATACTATACTCCTTTCTTTTTCCAAGTCTGTATTTTACTGTTTTAATCAAATAGGAACATATTAAACAATTATATACATCAGTTTATTTGTTCCATAACAGCTCCAACAATTAATCTTAAAACCAATACATCCGAAACTCCAGATTATGAATTCAATCTTTGGACAAGGCCAGATTGTGCAGGCACTGAATTTGAGAATGGGAATCGCACTTGGTTTTATTTTGGGATCCAGGCAGCTGAACCCAATGTGCAGGTAGAATGGAACTGAATTATATTTTGAATTTTGTAAAAGTTCAAATGCAGTTAATATGATTGAGGAAGTGTTTTGTATAAATATTTATACCATGTGCATCAACAGGCACGAACAATTTTTAAAACCCTACAATACTTTGAAAATCTTATGTACCTAAGTTTGTCTTCAAAATATTTGTAGGTCCGGTTAAATATAATCAATCTAAATAAACAAGGAAAGATGTACAACCAAGGAATGGCACCTGTTACAAGAACATTGCCAGGAAAGCCACAATGGGAACGAATAAGGGACCGTCCAGTTCACTCTGTAAGATTATTTGATAATTATATATGTTGTAACAATATAATATTATGTGTAACAGTGTGTAAGTACTCTTTTAAAATAATTTATATTTAATATCTGTTATGATTTTAGACGGATGACAACACATTCACTCTGAGTTTCAAATACAGGACCAGTGAAAATGCAAAGGCAACAACATTTTTTGCCTTTACATACCCTTTCTCATTTGCCGAACTACAGATAGCATTAAATTCTATAGATCTTAAAATGTTGCCATTACCATCTCCGCAGTCATTGGATGATATATACTATTATAGAGAATGTCTTATTTATTCTCTTGAAGGTAATCAATGTACCTGTTCTTATTATTATTTTTTGAAATATAAGAATATACAAAATAAACAGCTTGTGTCGGAGAAGTTCCACAACTTTACGGTTTATTTAATTTGTAGGCAGACGTGTAGACCTGTTAACTATAACATCTCACCATGGCATCACAACGGAAAGGGAACAAAGACTGAAGAATTTGTTTCCAGAGAACCAGGAGAGGCCTTTCAAGTTTCAAAATAAAAAGGTAAACCTTTTATCAAGTCACGAACAGGTAGGGCACCAACTTGTTGGTCGTGGGTTTGAGTCCTACATGTAGCTAGTTATTATTTAAGAATTCACCTCTGAAAATTCTGTAATGATTTTATAACATTTTTTCAGGTCATATTTATTTCGGCTCGAGTGCATCCAGGGGAAACACCATCAAGTTTTGTCTTCAATGGCTTCTTGAACCTCCTTCTAACAAGGAACGACTCTATAGCCATACAACTGAGAAAACTGTATGTGTTCAAGATGATACCTTTTTTAAATCCTGATGGTGTTGCCAGGGGGCACTACAGAACTGACACGAGGGGTGTAAATCTGAATAGAGTGTACTTAAATCCATCTCTCACTTATCACCCTACGGTTTTCGCCTCCCGAGCATTAATACGGTACGTAGATGCAATTCATTAAATCATTTATCAAGAGTGTTGCAAAATAAAATAATTACTTTGACAATTTACAATAGGGTTAGGGTCATGTCTATTTGTACCAATATATAATCGTGAATCAAATTTTCTATCACAGAAGCTAAAATCCTTAGTATAAATCTTTATTTATATAAATATAAAACTTTTTTAATATATTTGAATAATATAAAATTATTCAAATATTTTAAAGCACACTTATATTTCTATGTTGTTTTTTTTGACCGTTTAGTACCCTTCAATAAAGTTCTTAAATTATGAAGTCCGTATCCTTCACCTCTTATCATTTTATTATCCTATACTTTACAAACTATAATAATTTATATTTCTAACGATCATTGCCATTTTTAGATACTATCACTTTGGTTATGAAAAAGACGAAGACTTATTCGAGGATAGTAAAAGTTTCACTTCTCGCAGTATTGGGAACATAAGCGAGAGTGCCGAGGTAAACTATAAGTGTTCTAGCAATTAAAGCTAATTAATAATTATTTTACATATTCTGTGTCATTGAAAATACAACAGAACGCAAAAACATGGCAACACAAACAAAGTAACAACGACAAGCGCGACTCGAACCCGCAACGGTCTGACTTATATTAAAATTCTCAACCTAATGCATGCAGTGTCCATGCATACCGTAATATCTTCGCGTTAAATTGATTAAATGTACACGTTAAGAGATATTCATGTACTATATTTCTAGTTTACCGAGACGAAGAAGAAGAAAAATTTAGCGAAAGGGAGCGATTATAAACGTGAAAAGTCGTCCTCAGCTAAAGCTCTGTCCAGAAACAAATCGTCTACCACCATCAAGCAAGTTTCCAATGAAGAAACTCAGTCAGTCAGCGGAGAAGCTGCCCATTTAGCCGAACAGGTGAAGCAAATCAGTTGTCGTTTTATGTAAAAAAATTAACGTTATTTCGTTATTATCACATTTTCGATAAACAACCGTGATGGGAAAATTATGGCCGATAAATAAAACCGGTATCGAAATTATTAAAACTTAGTGTAATTATTTCATCGTTATGGGATAATGGTGATAAAATCTGATTGTTGGAATAGTTGTTACTTGTGAAAAAAGGGTCGAGCTTAACCAAGTACATAGGCTTAAACTTTGTATTCTTGCAGAGCTAAAAAATAGTAGTCTTGCATGGTGCCTATCTGGTCAAGACCATTTTGCTATACAGTCGGAGACAGTATTTAGAAGTATTTACAGAAGAAAATATTACATAATATAACAGACAAACCATACGGATCAGTTTGTAATTTTTCCTTTGTTAACTTTAAATACGTTCTTAAAGAAAAATTACAGACGAAACAATAATTAATTAGTTTGTAGCTCTTATATATTAATAATATTCCTATTATGTACCTCCAAACCAAGAGTTTACAGCGTTGTTAAAGTTTGGTAAATAAGATTAATAACGCAATTTTAGGTGCACGACATGAAACTCCAAGAAATGCCTTCTCAAATGAATGATGCCACATCATACGTCGATTCGAACACAAATCTTGAGGAGACGTCATCGCTGCTTAATGACAACGTTCTGCGATCTTGTCTCGGTTCCACCGTACACCTGAGTACGAGCGAAGAGCTGAAGATGCACGGCGGAAACCCACTGAGGCCTCTCCGGGAGACATTAAAGAACAGTATAAGTCTTCTCATGGAATCCAATAATTCAATCGCTGGGTAGGTCATTCATTTAATTAGTGTCGAAAACATCGCATTTTTTAAATATATACAAGTGTTATAAAGCTAAAGAGTTTGTTTGGGCGCGCTAATCTCAGAAACTACTGGTTCGAAGCCAATGAAAGGTGTAAAAAAATTGAAATTTATTTATCTTTGAGGGTTTCCGTTGCATGCGCTTTGAAATAAAAATATGTATGATAGAATTATTCTTATTTAAATGATCGAAAAAATTCCCACCAGTATGTCTATCCTTTAAAATCGGAAACCAACAGAGATAAATTATTTTCCCCGTTTGTTCCACATTTCACGCAGTCCTTTGATACTGTTTTATAGTTTTTTGTATAAATACAAAAATCATTTTTCAATTCCAACCAGTAGTTCCTGCGATTAGCGCGTTCAAACCAACAAACTCTTCGGCTTTATATTTTACTATATAATTCAGACTCCAAAGTGATTCATTGAAGAATGCTCCATTTTTCGTAAGCATTCTATTTCTGTATGCTCAAATTAGATACAATAAACAGATCACATCTCATATCAATGTTCTCCTTTCGCTCTATATATTTATATCTTATTGATAACCTGAACTTTGCCTGTTTTCGGCAGCGACAGCTCTATGGAGAGCAAAGCAGCTCGGCTTGCTAATGTCAAAATGGGCTGGTGTGATGAATGCCAACGTGCTGTCAGTCGTCTAGAAGATACCATGCCAGGAATTGCTAACATGGTGCCAGGATATAGTGCTATGGTATGTGCTCATCAAACATTCTTAGCAACTGTTAGTTACAGGTTTGAGTCCCGGCTGCATCATCGATGATTTTAAATCTTTCAAAAATACTTTTTTAAATGCTTTATCGTGTGTACGTATCAAAAAATGGTTTAATGTTTTTTCAAGATATCTCATGCTTTTGCATATTCCATGTTGTATTTCTATGATAGAGGAGGATATACTAGCGGGGGTTCATTGACGGAAAGTAAAATATCCCATCTATTTTGGCTTTGGATATTGGGAAATACACAGACTGTAACCGATAAGCGATTCAAGTTCACGGCTTTTTCGTGTGGACGGTATTTCAATATGTCTACCATCTAATTGAAAAATCGAATATAAATGAAAAAATTTTCGGCTCAGGCAGGACAAAAAAAATTTTTTTCAACAAATTTTGTGCCTCCATGTATGTAAAAAAAATTTTCAAATGTCTACCATCTATTTAACGTGCAGATTTCCAAACACGACCAGTGGATTATTAGCTGTACTTTGCTACCATTAAACCAATGCGCCAGTCAACGTCGGAATTTGCACGTCGAACTCTATCAGAAACTTTTAGCAAAAATCTAAAATAAATCAAAGGTGGAAATTATCTTAATAAAGTGTCCTAATATTCCTTAGATATTGGCGGAAACACCGAAGTATCATTCCATAGACGAATATCGCGAACATCAAAGACAGCAAATAGATGCGCAAGAACGAAAGGTAGATGTATACATATAGATATAGAAAAAAAATTTTTAACTCTTAACCTATCACATCTATAACAATTACTATAAACATAGTATGCAAATAAAATCTACATAAAGAATATTACTAAAATATTTTGTTATTTTTATATGTATGTATTTAACACAGTTGCAAGATACGGAGTTCCCAACGGACGGCGCAACTGTTTACTTCTGCACCAACTGTTTCAAAAGATACGTCATGTCGGAATTCGATGAAGAGATTGTGAGTTAAAAACATAGATAGAGAACTAGTTTGTACTGTGTTGTAATATTACTATACTATTAATTTGTAAGTACAAATTGCAATAAAATTGTTATATGTTATTAAAAATTCAGTATGTTGAAATTCCTTGATCCTGTTTTATAAAAAAATAATTCTATATGCTAGGTTCAGCGTAAATAAACGTAATATTATATATTATTAGGATGTTTTTGTCTCCATGATAAGTTTAACTGTTTTCAAATTTAGAGATTTATTAATAATGTTTGTCGCAATACAGAAATTATCAGAGCCACTGTCGTGTACCAGTGTGGGTGTGAGCGTGTGTGTTGGGGATAATGGTGATGTGTGCGTGCCCGCAGCGAGGCCCATCCCGAACACCGACGATGCTATTGTTTTGGTATAAACTATTTTACATTGTTTTTTTTGTTGTTACACACATTATAACAAAGTTATTATTTTTAGTACAAAACATATAACAAAAAAAAAGTAATAATATGAACGTTTCAACTAATCAAAATAAATTTAAGCGCGATAAAAGCACAGAATGCATGAATTATATACAATTGTATACTTTACTAGGATAAGGCAGTAGACGAAAGAAAAAATACCGCCTTTTATATCATGCTGTACGCTATTTACGCTACAATATAAGTATTTAAATTCCTAACTAAACCGAAATAACATTTGACGATTATTTCATTTCTATTTTGTTCTACAGCAAACTGGACCCCCACCAAAAGAAGAAAAGCCAAAGTCTCCAGTAAAGACCGTCGCTAAGAAGAAGCCGCCACCGGCTAATACAACTATCGCACCAAAAGTTGTCTACAAAGAGCCCGACAGCGGACTTTATTTATACATCGATTTGCACGGACACGCGTCTAAAAAAGGTGCCTTCAAACACTTTTACATATTTGTGACCGTCTAACAATGTAATAAACTAATTTATTACTGATTTAATAGCAACTTACAGACAGTACATAGTTAAAATATTGTATATTTATTATCGTCATGGCTGTACAGTACATCATAACTTAAACGACGCCTGAATAGCTTTTAAAGTCACACATACACGAATTTGCTTTTAAACTCGTTGAAAAATAATTTCGATGTATTTTTTCACTCGTGCTTTTGTATCCCACCAGCAATAGATCTTTCAATTTTAATTACTTAATCTATATACTTATTCAATTTATTCACATTTTCAGGAATATTCATGTACGGGAACCACTTCGAAGACTTGGATCATTCCGTTGAATGTATGTTGCTGCCGCGTATTATGTCCCTCAACAATCTCCACTTTCATTTCTCCTCGTGCAATTTCACTGAACGGAACATGTACCTAAAGTAAGCCTTCATTATTAAGTAATTTAGTGTCAATTACTATTTCTAAAGCAAAAGGTAAGTATCTGACTGCAAGAGCAGAATTCAAATAGTTTTATTTACATACTATGCTCAATGTTCAGTCTAAAATATTATGTAAAATAAGTTGACTTCTTTTTGTATTGTAGTGTAAAATCATTTAAAATATAAACTCATAGTAAGCTCCTGTATATTTTTAAGTCGTGTGTTTAAATATAGTTATGTTTTGTGTTTAATAGTAATAACATAAAACATTGAAAAAAAAAGGTCGACATGAAAGTGATTTTGAATATTGAGGTTTGGTCCATATATTATGTTCGATATTTCTTCATCCCTGTGGTATCGGTGGCAACAACTTCACTGTAAAAAAGGTCATCACTACTCTATGGTTTGAAATCGGGCATATTAGTTGTGGTCTTTTGCCAAGTTGAAAAAATACACTATTTGTTTATACTGCATACATTTATATCATATACAAACGTTGTTTCAACTCGAATCTTAGGGATCGCCGTGACGGCATGTCTCGCGAGGGATCCGGTCGCGTGGCCGTGCTCAAAGCCACCGGCCTTGTCCGCTCCTATACCCTCGAGTGCAACTACAACACGGGTCGCCTCGTCAACGTGCTTCCGCCGGCCGTTCGCGACACGCCGCTGCCCACCGCGCCGCACGCCGGAATGCCTCCCAAATACACTCCGCACATTTTTGAAGAGGTAAACCCCTTCCAGGTACACTGACTGTCTGACGCTGCTAGATAGTCCAAAACTCAACTTCATTCGATACAGATGGAAATGTTAATAAATAGTATTTTGCGTAAATACTGTCTGTACCTTACGCGAGTAGTACAAATTTAAATAAAACACTTTAACGGTTTATAATCCGAAAAATACATAGTAGTTTGCGGTCATCTTTTTGAATATTGTGGTTTTCGGGTTATTAAAACAAAAGAGGTACATCCCTTAGATGTTGTCGAATCATAGACAACCGTTTAACAACCTGAAAGAGAACAAGTACATACATATATATTTATATCCAATTACTGTGTATGTATGTACAAAAGTACATTTCTTCTGGTCGATTGAAGTTTGGTTTTAAATTAATCATCTGCACATACGCCGTCCACAACCTTATTGTAAAAATCCCATTTCGTGAATTTTTAGGTTAATTTTTTTATAATCGTATCTGCAGATGGTTGCAGTCGATAGAATCGAATTCGATAGAAACATGTTATAGCGGTAGAGTCTCACACACGTATTTGCTACAAAAAATATATTTAGAAGTGGCAATATATTTCAGATAAGACTTCGTGCTAAGAATTGGGATGCTTTCGAAGAGATAGACCCAATGAAGGTTTGTCCATAGACTTATAAAACTCGTACGATAGAACACATGTAGTTGAGAATATATTAAGCTTATATTTATGCTTAATCTTCTTGGGATGTCTCTTCAAATGTCTCCGATAGGTTGCACGCCGCTGTAAAGTCACGTAGTTTATAAACCGAATTTAGAAAGTTTATTGTTAGTAGATCAGTATCAAGTTCCAAGTTACGGAAGTCATCAATAAGTAAGACAACATTGGTAATTGGTATTGTTCCCATCTTGTACAGATTTAATTTTTATAATCTATTCTAATAATTAAAACCTTAAGAGTCTGCTATATCGAACGCGCTGACCTCAGGAATTACTGGTTCGAATAATTTTTGGACTATAGGGGAAGGCTGGGGCATCTTGGGCATCATAATATTATGTATACTAAATAAATTTGTCTATTTTGTGTCCTGGTGACTACTGCTTTCAATTTATTATTATTTAATTCAATTATATTTGTTTAAATTATCCGTTTTATAGGTGGGACGTTCCCTGGGAGCATCGATCCTTGATTTGACGGGGCAGCATCCCAACTCGCGCATTCCTTGTTCTGAACATCGCAACTTGTCGGCGCTGCGCGAGTGGCTTCGTGCTCACACACGCACAATGCGTCCACAGGTGTGTAATCATTAGGAAATTCTTCCATACTAAGATAGCAATATAATTTGTATAATTTGACCAACAGATATTAACACTGATTAACGTTGACCGCTCTTTAAACCGGAAGTTTAATTTGACGTTAACATCAAAACACCTGTTAAATGTTTTATTAATTAATAAGAAATCCTTATTAAACACTAAAACCGTATATTGTTCCTTTTATACTGATGACTATTTATTAGGTTTAGAATGAATGCGGTAAAGAAATGTATTATATCATTAATAATATTTTTTGTGATATGCTATGCTATGACCCGTTCGCTTATATGCTCGTTTCTTATTTCTGTTAATGTTTGCAAAAAAATGTAAAGAATTATCTCCTTCGTGGCTAGAAATACCTATTATTAATTTCCCTCTCTTTAAACAACAATTTATAGAAAGCCCGCTGCCACTTTCATCTGCTGGTCATTTCAGTTTAATAAATATTGCGCTTTTCTTACCAAGTTTTCAGTGTACAGGAAAAAATCCTTGTTCACTCCTTTCTTTTTCTTTTTATTTCCAGTATATATCAAAGATGAAATCATATAACAATGTAATTTTTACGCCAGTGAGAGAGAGAAGAAAATATTTTGATTTTTTCTTTTCTTGCATCCATCTCCTCACAAGCTTTAATTACCTCAAGTGTGCCAACTTTTTATTTTTATAACACCTATCTTTAATTTTCAGTGTTAACTCACCCCAAAACTACTATAAAACTGCAGGTTCTTACTAAAAAGTATGGGTAAGGAAAATATGAGTTTTTGTGCCGTCCCATGATATATACTAACACCCAGCACCCGTACACTAATAAAATACAGTGGTGTAAATGTAATTGTAAGTAGTAGTATTGGTTACAAAAGCAGTCTTCGTTTCAGCTAACAATGTCTCGACTGCGGCCAAAGACTTCATCGCCGACTAGAATGCCTCTCTACGCGCGGTCGAAGGCGAAAGTTACCGAAGAACGGAAGGAGAATGCGTACGCAGGCGCAAAAGCTGACTCCGAAAGACGCCGCAGCCCTTCGGTCCTCGCTCAGCGCTCCGGCCACGAAATCATCAATATGAACATGAAGTACGCTAAAAAGAACGAACCCGTCAAGACGCCCTCCCGAACCCGTTACCTGACGGAAAATGAGCCAAAGCCAAAAACGCTCACCACGAAACGCCGAAACGTGCTCGCTATCAGAAAACCCAGCACTAGTAAAACTCAAGTCGGCGGCGTAGTCAAAGCGAAGATGACTAGAAGGTCCGCTGATGACGCGGAGAGCACCCGCTCGTCTATAGTTTCCACGAAGCTAAATAAGCGGAGCTACGCGAGGTCGTTACGCGGTGCCGTCACCAGATCCGCCAATAGGTGTCGGGCTATGGCTTCGTCATCTTCCGAAGACATGATTAGTGGCACCTGGGAGGATGTCGCAGGAGGTACAGTGCTGGGTTCGCAGAGCGGTATAACCCACCCGGAGACGATGTCGATGGGGTCGAAGCGCAGGTCTTTCCCGGCGCCTTCGCCCTCCCACCTAAAGAAGATCCGTCTCAAGACCGCCTTGTAGCGCAAGCCGCGTGCGAGGCCGGCGCCCGCCGCCGACAGAGGCCCGGCCTCACGCACACCACCCGCACCCACTTAACGTCTTTCATAGTGAATTTTTTATTTTTGTTTTTTACATAATTTTATATCGAATATTTTAACATGGCAATTTGTAAAAAAATGATAAATGTGCAATAAATAATAATGTTGAGTAAAAATAGGAATGTTTATGTAATGTCATTAATAAAAGTGTAAGTATATTGTTTAAACGAAATTACTTGTAGATGTGCGCAAAAAAATGTAATGTTATGTTTTATTCACCTGTTCTGAAACCATCACTGTAACCGAATCTATATTCTTGAAGACTTTTTATGTTATTGTGATTGTTATTACAAACTTGATGTGATCGTGTGATATAATTTAGAGTGCTTTTGAAATTTTAAAGTTATATGAAGATACATAGCCGATACGATGTTTTGTGTTATTTGCCTTGCTTAGGCAAGAATAGTTAGCATTATTTTGTATATTCATTGTTCACAAAATTTAACCATATGATACTTAAGATTTAAACTAAAACTTTCAATTATTTCTACCTTAAATATTTGTAATTTTCACACACTTTTCCTTGGTACTTGTTTCTTTATGTGCAAAAAAATTGGATAGGTTATTTGAAAACTTTAAACTGTTATTAACATTAATATTCTTGCCATTAAAATATTTCCTTCTTATTAAAACTATTTTACTACGAGTGCTTCAATATATTACACATATAGTATGTAAATTATATACCTTATATGTTTAACGATAGATACACAAAATTGGTATACTTCACTTTGTTTTGTATTAAAAAAAACCTTTAAAAACGTGTTACAATTACAATAATGATTCAAAATTTTTATCCCACCGCTTCTTTGGGAATATTTACAAGAATACAAACCCTTAAGTCTAAATAAAGAATGACAAGGTACATTTTCAACAGTTGAGCGTTCCAGCATAATCAATTAACATTTTGATCTCATAAAACATACAATACAGGACATATCGTTTGGTTTATGTTTTGTTTAAAAATAGTATTTATTGTATTAAATATTAATATATGAGTAACAGCAAAATTATCAGTTTTATTTCTATTTTACCCTATGACTTCGTTAAACGATATTATCATTATCTTTAGTATTTATTTCATACATAAATCATGATATAAATTCCCAAAGACTACAAACATGGAATAGAGGAGGTTAATGAAAAAAACAAACGAAAATCAAGTCCAAATTTCTATTTCATTTACAATAATTAAATACAAGTATTGATTAAAAATTATATTACATTATTTAGGCATGGTACTTAAACTATGATTTATAAAAAATCCATTGCATACCTACAATTTCATATTTTGGCTTTTAAATGCCGGTCATCACATTCAAATAAATCGATATCTAGATAGATTTAACGTTACCACGTATTAAACGAACTTATTTGTTTATTAAATAACTTAGTACCTATCATTCTCATGAACTTGTCTTTTGTGAGCACATAATTATAAGAATGAAGCAACAGCCAGGAATACGATTTACGCTATGTATTACAAAATAGTTCTATATATAATTGTTATTATACACAAATGTGGACGTGATGGTTTTTTTTTTAATTTTGGCAACGATTTTGGCTCTTGCCTCTAGCAAAATTAGCATTCAAATAAAATTGTGAACTTACGACAATCTACCAAAAATCCGTAATTACGTACGTATCTATCTTAACAAGCTTGCAAATAAATAATAATATGGCATGGACTTAGTGCGATATACGTATATTTAATATTTATTATGCATACTTCGTATAGTGGTTTTATTAATATTAGCAAAGCCGCTTAATAACGTTAAATAGACAATGTTTATTAATTTATTATTACTGGCTTTGCGTTGTATTTGCTTGCTTCACAAGAACGTATCATGAATCTTCACTTGTGAATTATGGACTAGAACTCGATAGTGAAAATAGATTTAACAATAATCCTAACTTAAGAATATTGTTTATTGACAATAGCTCTACATAACAGCTATATATAATGAAAGAAACAAGTTAAATTCATAAGATACAATATTGAAATGGAAATATAAAAGATATACACTTACACATACATAATGCAACGTTGTGTAAATACATTGTTAAAAGACACCCGGCCCTAATGAGAATATTGTAATGGTAGAAAAATAATATTTACACTGGAATAAAAGCAGGTATAGGTCGCGGCACGGATCGCGGATTTACAATCGCGAACATAATTGATTGGAAAACGTGACTGTACTCGAGAAGCAAACGGAGCGTCGTATGGTCCGAGAAAGACAACACGACTGGGGAACCAATCAACGCTAGCGCACATGACGTTCACTCGCCCCGCGCCCGCTTCCATCCCTTATTTTCGACTTCTGCGCAGGATTCGTTCAGCGCTAAAGATCCGTGCCGCTACTTATAGTACAATTAAAGGACAATATTGTATAACAATATATTATAATACACATAAATGCAAACACCTAGATTTTACTTTGAGGATTTAATTACTCAAGAAGTACTTAATTGATTTTGTATGCCAATTAAAGAACTTATGTAATTGCAAATTAGAAATACATGAGCGCTAGCGGAAGACCAAAGTGATTGTTTGAGCAGTTCTGATTTGTCAAGCATATATATTTTACAGTTTTCATACAAATGACTAAGAGCTGTGGTCTCCAATAAACGGTGTTTACGCACATCGTAACGTGTTACGCTATGTTATAATGGAAATGTAGTGTTGCTATCCCTTTCTAACGTGCGTTTATTAACACAAAGCGTAGGCCGTTTAGTAGATCTTGTTCTTAAATGGCGAAGTTAATGCAAGAATGTTTGTCAACTGTAGGAGACGTGATCTATCGCATACAAGATGTACCGATCAGGAGTATCTAATAAGGGGATCTTAACGACGTTTATTGATACCACAGTCTAAAATGAACACTGAAGACATTCACAATCCGCCTCACAAGTTGGAATGCACTCGTTGACGATATCCGTCATTCAGTCATTAAAACACTGTTAAACACAATTTAACAACGAAATAGTCAATGTCAGCGTGGGACGCTAAAATTTGCTTCTTAATTAGCCCTTGCCTTCATCTGGTATTGAAATACAAACTGTGGCGGGTCTCTGTCTATCACTATGTACACTGGGGTCGTATTTGTCGCTGGAACGACGTATTTCGTCCGTCGTTGTGAGTTTGCATTCGACTACGTGGTAGGATGGGGTCCCGCAGTCGAAACGAGATGGCACTGCATTCGGTATATCGCCAAGCTTTGACTCGTCTTTGAAAGGTGGACAACTGAAAATTATCACAGGAATGGTTAAGATTAATAAAAAAATATGAAATAACTAGCGATCTCTTCCAAGTAACCAATGTGAGGGGAAAATAAAAGTAAAGGACTATAGGTACGTGGTGCTGGAGTGGAATGTGAAAAAGAAAGGCAAATAAGAACTGAAAAGAGAAGATTTGAAAATTGTGGTTTTATAAGTACGGAGAGATTAAACTTTTCTGATATCTAAGGGAAGAGAGTTCCAGAGATCTAGAATTTAATAGTGAAGGCGTTTTTGAACAAGGAAGTCTTATACGCAGGAATAAGAAATAAAAGATTATGAATATAGTGAAAATGTAAAAATGTGAACTTAAAGGAAGAAAATTGAGTTAATTAACAACAATTCATAGTCAATTCAAGTGTTTTACGAATAAGTCGTCAAGTTAAATAAACAGTAAGATTACCTTAATGGTGGTGGTGTCGGCGAGCGGGATAATGGAAAACTAGCAACTTCTCTAGATATGGCCAGAGATTTTATGGAACCGAAGGCCTGTTCGGGGCTAAGCGGCGCACCGAGAATTGATGCCATTCCTCTGTAAACAAATGAATACATGGAATTGTATGCTGAAAAACTTTCACTTTTCACATTACACGAGCATTTAGTCGTAGTAAATTTAACTTGCTTACGGAGACCCTGGATACAGAATGAATGCAAGTCTGAATCCCTACTGGGTTGTTGAGTGTTAAGTGCAACCAACAAAACAATCAAAAGTTAATTCGAATATTAAAACGTCACTATTCAAATAACAGTAAAGCACATGTTAAATAACAATTTCTAAGTAGTAAGTTAAAATAATGTATTAGTTAGAGCAACAGCACGGATCGCTGTGGATGCAAGTTCAAGTCCGAAATCGATTAATTATTTGTATTATAAATAATTAATCAAATGCAATAATACAAATAGGTACAAATTGTAACAATTAAAAATATTCACTCTTCGTTTAAACAAATAGATTAGCTTTTATTCTGTGTATTTTTGTATGAGTAACACTAAGTCGGCATAACAATATTCACTCTCAAAAAAACAATATTCTAAAATACTCGGGAAACTTACACAACAGAGTCGCTTGGCACGAGGAAAGGTAAGGGCGGGGGGCAGGGAGCATCAGCTCGTGCTGGTGACGCTGGCTCTACGGATCGAGGGCAACGAGGCGTCTCGCTTTCCTCCACCATGCCAAGCCAACCGCGAAGAAAGCGCCACAGCCCAGTGGGGCTTCCTGTAAAAAAATCATTTGTTTTTGAGTGTCCAAAATACTATCATTTTAGAGTACTAAATAGAGAAGTATCTCTACATAGTTAAATAGTTTTAAAATAACATTGACATCTGTGTCATCAGAAAAATGCGTATTAAAAGTGTATGCAATTTATTGTGGCTTAAAAGTTTTTTTTTATAAGGCTTATATTATATTTAACTTTTTAGCACCATGTTTACCCTCTGACTCACTTAGTATTTTTTTATCAAGGATAAAAATTAAAAGAAGTGACTTACGTGAATACTTTCTGCTATTCTGTGGGCTTAGCGGATAAAAGTCCCCATGTATGGGACAATGGAAGGCTAATCGACGTTGACGTTTCTGCGCCGCTCGCATCAACATACATAACACCACGCCTGAAAACAATAGAATGGGATATCTATAGACATAATAATGAGGTAGTTTACGGTATTAAATAACGCAGACGAACATTATAATTTATAATAGCTTCAATCCAAATTGTAATAAAAGCAAAACGACGAACAGGACAATAAACGTAAAAAAATTGTATTTAAAACTACTGTTGTTGTTTACGCTAGTGTAACATATTTAATTAAACACGTTTAACGGTTTAAAACTTAAAACATTTTAGCATTTTTTTATTTGTTGATATTTCGAAAGGTTTACATCAACCAAGGATACAAGGACTCGACCCGTTTTATTGAACAAATATCCTTCCTTCATCTCCGTCGTTTGCCTACTATCAAATAGTTTTGTATTTGGTAGCTTAGTTATGGCTTACGAATGGACAAACTCACTTTATAGTTTATAATACATATTAGCAATATCTGTAACTACAAATTGGTATTGATCGTATCAAACCCAAGCCATGAAATAAGATTGGGTTTCAAGACCCTCTGTTTGTTGGCTTTACGCCAAGCTACCCCGGAAGGCTGATTGTATGTCTTACGAAATGAAGTTCCTATTTGTTCACAAGAAATCTCGATTTTAGATATTACTTGAACACAATACGTGCTGGGTAATACTGTTTATATACCATTTTTTGTTGCAAAACTATATGCAACGAAGACTCAAGAATCACATTAATGAAAAAAGCGCCAGTAAATGCCAACCTTTCTCTAAATATAACTATAAGCATTACTATATAGACACTGAGGTAATATCTGAGAGGTTCTCTTGTCATTACTTATGGAAATAAGGCCGTCTTATTAACACATTATACTTTTCTTTTTTCAGATATTAAGAATGATTGTGATAGTGTAGGGTAGAGAATGGGTTAAGAACTGGGGTAAGAACGATAGAAGTGGGGACTTTACCAGCAATGGTCATAAGGGCACCAGCCACAATGCACACGGGGCCGAGTACGCGGGAATTTCCAGTGAATGCGATGCGCGCGGCGTAGTGGTCAGGTTCCTCATTTTCACCACAACCGCGATATGATGCGGCTGAAATCAATAAACACGATCCTATTAAGTACTCGTACATCTAGAAAAGCATGGAGGCGGCTAGTCGACACAGCAGAGCTATCTCACGACATGCACGACTGTCGACTTCGCCTACGTCCTATCCATATGAAAATGTAAAGAAATTTTAATCTGTGGATTAATTTTTTGATTTTTTATAAACTACCATGAAAGTGTGGTTTTTACTAAGTAATTGTGAAGTAGTTCACTAATTTAATATGTAACCTAGCGTCTCAAAGACTTGACAGCTTTATAATACTATTTACAATATGCCAGACGGGGCACTTTAAAAGACATTTTTAAATTCAAGAAGTTTACCTGTAAGGACACATCCAACAAGCATAAACAGAAACCCAAATATTGGGAGAACGATTTGACAGTTAGCAGCCACAACGACGCCGGCCACTGCTAAGCCGCCTTCAACTTTTTCTACGCGGAGGCGGGATATCGCTGGCGGACATCTGGGTTTACCCACGGGGGCTCGAACTAACGGCTCGCCGGGGGGCGACGTTGTCCTGCAAAAAAGTACATCAATAAACCATTTGACATAAATAATAAATAACTGAATTATATCTAGAGTAGACCTTGGTTACAGTTAAAATCAGATCCCCTAATTCTTAATAATGGAAACTTACAGACATAGGCGGTAATAAAAATGTTGTGTCCAAATAATTTGTCATTGCCCCAAGATTCGAACCTAAAATTATTTTGCTTTGCAAGGCAACGCAATTGAGCCGCAAAGTGTATGACATTACTTACTTAGTATTTACATAGACTGTGATGATATCAACTATAGAGTATACAAAAAGTAATATAATTAGATGTATGGTATTAAAATCATTACTCATGGACAACTAAACAAATAACGGTGATAGAAAGATACTCTATTTAATGCAATAATATTGAAACTAATAAGCAAAACAGCTTTTCGTGCTATACCTAGCTAGATACTAAATAAATTAGAGATACTATGTTCATGTCATATTTTTAGAATAAATATAAGCCGTATATAATATTAGGGTAGCTGTGATGTAATCATTTTTAAGAATATCTTAACCAAAATATATTTGCCTACCGGTGACCACGGCTGCTGCAAAGCATCCGAAACGTCGGGCCGCAGTTAAAATAAGTTCAACCTATATATATCGCGTTTTAAACCGTTGAAATGTTTTATTTAAATGTTTACTACTCGCATAAACTTCATAGAGTATTTAAAATATCATTGACATATTAGAATGTACTATCTGAATTTAAATAAAACACTTTAACGGTTTAAAACGCGATATATTAGTTAAACTTATTTGAAAATGATTTTAACTTCGGCCCGACTTCAGCCGTGGTCACGGGGAGGCAGATAATTTTCAAACAAGTTTAACTAATATATCGCATTTTAAACCGTTAAAGTGTTTATTTAAATGTGTACTATTCGCGTAAACTATAGACAGTATTTACTATCTGAATATCAATTAGATCGTAGCTAATTGTGATGAATTAAAAAGTATAACTTAAAATTTTATTTTAAATATCGCTGGGTGTTTGGTAGCAGTTTTTACAATGTTTACAACAAATTTTCTGATAAGGTGCATACACAAAAATACTAAGTCTGGATTTAGTTGATATCTTATGTTAACACAGTTAATGAAAATATTTGTATGTTGGTATAGTATTAATTAGGGTTTGATAAGAGTTACGCAATCTTGGCTCGCAAATGATTTAATCTGGCTCGCAAGTAGAGGTCATCGCAGATGTTCTAAGATATAGATGAAACGGCGATCTAAAAATGACATAGGTGTAACTGATTTAAAAATAACCACCTTTCCAAGTCTATTCGAAGTCAAATATTTTCATAGGTTTATAATATTTAAATAAAAAACTTTAACGGTTTAAAACGCAATATATAATTTAAACTTATTTGTCTCCCCGTGACCACGGCCGCTGCAAACCATCCGAAACGTCGGGTCGAAGTTAAAAAACATTTTCAAACAAGTTTAACTAATATATCGCGTTTTAAACCGTTAAAGTGTTTTATTTAAATGTGTACTACTCGCGTAAACTATAGACAGGTTTATAATATAATTTAAAAATCGAAAATAAATTGAAAAAAAAATTCGACTCGGGCAGGACTTGAACCGGCATTGTCAGCTTTTTCAACTTATTGATACATGCACCTCTCGCGCAGTGTAATTTCAACCTTAACACTTGCGTACTAAGGTTCAATGTCTTATGCTTTGCAGCTTAAGAAATCATTAAAGATGAAATTACAAAGTTATAACGTTTGAAAACATTAATATTTTTCACATGAAGGCACTATATAATTTAAAAATCGAAAATAAATTATTTTCAAAGGTTTATAATATATAATAGTTTCGTTTTAAACCATTTATCTAACGTCTAAGCATACGCCTTAATGATAGAGGAGGACACACAGTTATACGGACCCCAGCTATTAATATCTAAACAAGAGGCCTTGTCCACTTATTTTGGTTTTGGATATTCGGAAACGCACAGGCTGAAACCGAAACACGATTAAACTTGACGGCTTTTCTCTGGTTACGGTGGTTTGTGACCCGAACGGAAATGTTTGACCCGGCGGGGATCGCACCCACGACCCGTTGATTATTAGCCACACATTCCTACCATTTACACCCATGAACCCGTCAAGAAGATTTCATTGAAACGGACTATTGAGTTAGTGATGTTAACCAGGATGGCTCAAGGCGCTATTCTAGTCAGTCCAGGTAACATCACCACTTCTAAACTCAGAATCGCAACCTGGGCAACAGGATATGCATTCGAGGGTACTAACCAGTGAGCTACGGATCTTAATTTTAGACTGTGTTTGTTTTTATTATGGTATGTTTCCTGCAATTTGAGAACTCAGCAGATGGGATAGACGTAAGAATAACGTAAAAAACAAGATAACAGAATTACAGAAAACAGAATGAAATCGTAAAACTGAAATAGTTCGGAATGTTGTGGGCAATATGGCGGGTAGTCAAGGGAACAATACGAATCTCGAAAGAACACAAATGATGTAATCCAACAAAACCATGGTGTATGAAGTGATATTTCCTTAAAAAAATGTGTATCTATATAAACTTCGAATATGTATGTATAGTTGGAATTATATTTATATTTCGTCTTTATCCTATTTTCTACGTTATAAACTAACACAAGTTTGGAATGTTCGACATTTAAGAAAAATACTTTTAACCGTTTTAAACGCGAAATATATTAGTTTACTTGTTTTTAATTTATTTTGACCTACCTACCGCCTGACGTTTCCCCCTGTGACTACAGCTGCTGCAAAGCGTTTGAAATTCAAATTTGCTTTTTAAACAGTTGAAAGCGTTTTGTTAAATGTGTATTACTCGGGTAATACTACAGACAATACTTAAAACGACATTTTGTTGGATCTGTACATAAGTATGTTTGCCACACAAACTTAAAGCTATATCGGATTACAGATTTTCTTCGCGTGTTTAAACGGAGCACGTGGCACGTGGAGAGAAACGTGATTTTTATACCCGAGCCGGGGTATTCGGGGCTGAGATGAATAGGAATTTGTGATGCCAACGGCGACACTGTGACGCTGTCCTACGTCACATGGCATTTCTCCCAGAAAACAGAATATCATCCAACGCGTTGGTCCTACATCTTTATAAATTAATGGGATTAAACGACAACAGTTTTATTGCAATGAAATTAAGAAAAATATGTATTTATTTAATTATAAAAGGCTTAACATAAGGTAGGTTACAAATAAAAAAAACGTAATATCAATTTATGGATGGTAAAATTTCTAAAACTTTCTTCTTAAATTGAGTTGACCAATAAGTGTAATTGATCCATTTTAAATATCAGTATATTCTACTCTTGAAGTGAAACGGTTAGATACAATTTTATATATAGCTATAGCTGACACACACAGAGTATTTGTAAGCTTAAAAATATGTTAAAAATATCATGATTAGAGATAAGATGCAACATCGGTGACACTGTGGGGAGCGTCCCATTGTATTATCACAAAATTAGAACGCCGCGTTATCATAAGTGTATCAGAACCAATGGACAGATTAAATAAATCATTACATAATTCTGTTTACATCAGATGAAGATCAAGATTTTATCGGAATACACAAACGTCTGTTGTATATACTTGGACTTAATTAAATCAATTCTAGTTCGGGGGAGTTAACATGTAAATAAACTTTTGATTTTCATTGGGTCCGGATTTAATAAGTAATGGATTAACAAAACAGAATCTGTTTGGAAAAGTGACTTTGCAAAAGATTCTATATTCTTAAGATGTTTCCGAATAGACACAAAGCAAGAACATCGTTCCTATTTTAGATAAGGTCTTCTAAATGAGATTATTAAGATTCACAAACTTATAACAGTTAGGCTCCAAATTTCGAGCTTTTAATTATTTATTAAGCGAATTACAGTTTTATTCATCCTTTGTTAATCGTTTTTTTTTCAAATAAAGTAACTAAATATTAAGCACAATTACAAAAATATCATTTTAGTGGACAAGTCATTAATTTTGTAGAAAAAAACTCTTCAATTGTCAAAGTAATGTAATTACAGAGTTCAATAAATATTTGATTGAAGTGGGTTGACGTGAGGCGGCTCCGTAAATAATTGTTTAATAAACATTCTGGTCTAACGATATAATGAAAAGTTAATTCACTTGCTAGCTGTTTAATTAATAATAAAGCTCTTTTTTATGATGAAGGATAGACAAGTTTAGAGTTTACTTGATGGAGGGTATTTTGTTAGAACATATGTAGAGCTTTAGCTTAAGAAGTTAAGACTATTCTGAAAACAATAAATATGCTGGACTAAGTGGGAATCGAATCCGAACCCGTCGATTGCTAGTCAGATGTTGCCACCAATGAACCAATGACCCTGTGGAACATAGACAGCCCTTGACCAAATTTGATAGATGATTGTTTGAGAGTTGATTATTTATAGTTTGTATAAAATGTTAGTTGTTCAATATTCTAATCACAATATATATTGATTAACATTAAAAATTCATGTGGATGACGACATATATTTAATCCATTATGTTCAGTAATTAAAATACAATGAACATTAATGGCAACATTTAAATAATAAAAAGTCTTACAAGTTAATGTTAATTGATTAATAGCAGTTATATAAATTAATGGCAGTACTTATAAGGTTGCGGTAAACTATTACTAAATATTAATTTTAGAGTAACTAAATGTTAGTCTCTATAAACATATATTTAATTAAATGAATTGCGATATCCTAATACGAAAATTTGTTACTGCGCGTCAATGTTACACTGTACATATATAGCAGGGCACATCTAGTTGTTAATAGTTATATGTTTTAAGGCATGTCACTTGTTAAATTATTTGTATTCAATTCATTAGGTTTAATTAAGTGATAATTTATGCTATATTTTGGTAAAACATTATAGGTCTTTAATAATATATTACTTAGTCGATGTCGATGATATTAGAAAAGGCACATCTCTTTC